GCGTATAAAAAGTGAAAAAGGAATCCTTGCATACAGCCTTGTTGCCCAACAGCAGATTGAGAGCATGGAAGGAAGGATCTGACTGGAGACTGTGGCATATTTCTGATTATGTGAAAATGTTTGTTTTTCTCTTTGGCACAAATAAATGAGATGCAGTGTCCGCTCGGAAGACCTAAACAATAGGCACGTATGACTCCAATGGCAGTCCTGTACCCCAACAGTACTGGCTTGTTGATATCTTGGTGTACTGGTGCAAGTTCATTTATCAAAGACCATTATGTTCAAAACTAGTTGTTCAGTTAAGAGTTATTTTTCAAAAGATAAGAGCTTTGTTTTTCTTCTAAATAACCCAGTGATGTTAGCAAGGTAGTAATATTTGTGGACTCCATAGTGCTGGTGATTATATTGATCTCTTATGAGATCCAAGGTCAGCACAACTCACGCTCAATACCATAACGAAAGCTAGCTTGAATGACAAAAATGATTGAACTGAAAAGCAATCGTTAATAAAATCATTTTGATTCTGCTGAAGCCTGTTTAGTCTATTGAAAACAACATGCGAGACACAGCTCAAAACATGACATGAAAAATACCAACTCAAAAACAAGCGTATGGTTGTCTAAGTAGAAGCTCTGAATACAACATACATATCCAACAATTCACACCATGCAGTCTGTTACACACCTACAATTACAAAGCGAAACACATTTTATCTGCTCGGTCAATAGCTTGGCTGTGTGCCATACAATAAGTTATTGTATTTCCCCGTGTTCCCGCTGGACCTAAAGAAGCATAGACAGAAACTGTTCCAGGAACAGCTAGATCACAGTGCCTGCACATAAGCCATATTGTGATCACCTCTATTGATCTCTCCCTGGACAATACACCATTCTCAGCACACACTGCTCCATCAAGGATATATCTCAATTACTAACATCAAAAACATTGTAGAAGCTGCTGAACCATATAAGTTTCATGCAGCCCTTCTGTGCGAGACTTTTTTGCTATTTGAAATCCATTACTTGAAATGATTATTGCATAGAAGATTAAACAACTCAATTGGACTAACGCAGATTTGAAAAATTAGATTTTATAATGCTTATGATTGAATTTTCCCATACACATGGGAATCTCAAGGCCTGTGGCAGATCCTACATCTAATGGGCAATACTTTACTACTGCCTGTGAAGTGGGACAGTGCAGATCTTTGTTCAGTTTAGAAGCCAATCGGAGTACATTTTTCTACTCCACTGGATCTCTAAATCTACACTGCATGTCCACAACTGCTTCAGTTTTTACTGTGCTAAAATCTTCAGTATTATAATATGATTTTTGTACTTACTATAAAATCTTTTTTTCTTGGAGTCCATTGAGGGATACAGGTATTTAGAAACAGTCTGGTCATACTACCATCCACAGAAGGTTTGGACCAGGGGTGTCATTAGCACTGGGCGCCTAGGGCACATGCCCTGCATCTCTTACCTGGTGCTCTGTGTCCCAATGAGGCTGCCACCCATGATAATTCATAACTGCTTGCGGCACTACGTATTTTAACACAATTTTAGCACAATTTGAAATTGCAGCAAGAATTGTGCAAATCTGCCAACAATTCCGCATTGCTCAGATGTGAATGCATTCTAAACGACAATACACCATAACTATACTGTGTGTGTGTATATACAGTTGCAAGAAAAAGTATGTGAACCCCTTGGGATTACGTGGAGTTTTGCATGAATTGGGCATAAAATGTGCTCTGAACGTCATCTAAGTCACAACAATAGAAGAACACAGTCTGCTGAACATAATACTACACAAACATTAGATGTTGCCATGGTTTAATTGCACATAACATGTAAACATTCACAGTGCAGGGAGGAAAAAGTATGTGAACCTTTGGACTTAATAACTGGTTGACCCTCCTTTGGCAGCAATAACCTCAACCAAATGTTTCCTGTAGTTGCAGATCAGACCTGCACAACGATCTGGAGTAATTTTGGACCACTCCTCTTCACAAAACTGTTTCAGTGTAGCAATATTCTTGGGATGTCTGGTGTGAATGGCTCTCTTAAGGTCATGCCACAGCATTTCAATCGGGTTGAGGTCAGGACTCTGACTGGGCCACTCCAGAAGGCGTATTCTGTGCTGTTGCAGCCATTGTTTTGTTGAATTACTTGTATGCTTTGGGTCATTGTCCTGTTGCATCACCCATCCTCTGCGGAGCTTCAGTTGGCGGACAGATGGTCGTACGTTTTCCTGCAAAATGTCTTGATAAACTCTGGAATTCATTTTCCCATCAATGACAACAATCCGTCCAGGCCCTGAGGCAGCAAAGCAGCCCCAAACCATGATGCTCCCTCCGCCATGTTTTTACAGTGGGGATGAGGTTTTGATGTTGGTGTGCTGTGCTTTTTTTTTCTCCACACATAGTGTTGTGTGTTCTTTCCCAAACAACTCAATCTTGGTTTCATCTGTCCACAGTATATTTTGCCAGTAGTGCTGTGGAACATCCAGGTGCTCTTTTGCAAACTTCAAACGTGCTGCAATATTCTTTTTGGCCAGCAATGGCTTCCTCCGTGGTGTCCGCCCATGTACTCCATTCTTGTTTAATGTTTTCCTTATTGTAGATGTGTCAACAAAAATGTTAGCATGTGCCAGAGATTTCTGTAGGTCTTTAGCTGACACTCTGGGATTCTTCTTTACCTCATGCAGCATTCTGCGCTGTGCTCTTGCAGTCATTTTTACAGGATGACCACACCTAGGGAGAGTAGCAACAGTGGTAAACTTTCTCCATTTGTAGACAGTCTGTCTTACCGTGGACACATGAACATCAAGGCTTTTGGAGATACTTTTGTAACCCTTTCCAGCTTCATGCAAGTCAACAATTCTTGATCGTAGTTCTTCTGAGAGCTCTTTTTTGCGAGGCATGGTTCACATCAGACAGTGGTTCTTGAAACCAGTAAACCCAAAACAGGTGTGTGTTTTTTAAGGGCAGGACAGCTGTCAGCAACACATCCAATATCATCACACTGATTGGAGTCAAGGTTGGCTCACTCCTGGCTCCAATTAGCTCTGGGAGAAGTCATTAAGTTAGGGCCTCACATACTTTTTCCTCCCTGCACTGTGAATGTTTACATGTTATGTGCACTTAAACCATGGAAACATCTAATGTTTGTGTAGTATTATGTTCAGCAGACTGTGTTCTTCTATTGTTGTGACTTAGATGACGTTCAGAGCACATTTTATGCCCAATTCATGCAAAACTCCACGTAATCCCAAGGGGTTCACATACTTTTTCTTGCAACTGTATATATATATATATATATATATATATATTGTACACTATATATACAAAACACATATATACATACTTAAACATATATAGTTATAATTTATATCAATGTTTAACCTCGCTGGGCCTGAAGGAATTAGGAAGGAAAAAACCTTCTTCCTCACATCACAGCAGCTTCTCACCGAGATTTTCCAGCTCTGGGCTGGAGAATCTGGGATGGAGATATTTTAAAGAGATGGCCAGTGAGATCTCACCTTCATAAACTTGGCCATCTCTGTAAAAGTGAATGACAGAAGGGTGTGTGTCCTGTGATGAGAAGTGAAGAAAATGTTCTTCGCTCCTCAGTTTCATAAACTGGCACACCTGAGAGATCAGCTGTGATCATCAGGATCTTGGCTTTTCTTTCTTTCTTAAACGGACACCGGTATCAGTTTGTCAACCAGTCAACTCCCATTTTTTATAAGCAGATGTCAGCTTTGCAGCCTCTATATTCTCTCAGGTCATACTACAAATGACTCATGCCTACCCTACACTACTAACATGAATGTCCTAATACAGTGGTACCTTGCTTTACGAACGCCTCGGTTAACGTAATTTTCAGTTTGCGAATGAAAATCCATTGGAAACAATGCCTCGGGTTACAAATTTTTTCCACAATACGAAGCAAGTTTCCCCAGGATGCATCACGGGTGGGAGGTTTATAGTGCTTACCCCGTGCATGCTGGAGTCTGTGGGTAGCATGTGGTGTTGAGTGTGGAGGTGTTTTTCAATGCATTCCTATGAGAAATCGCGTTTCGGGTTACAGATTTTTCGCAATACGAAACGTCCCGGGGAACGCATTAAATTCGTAAACCGAGGTACCATTGTATAATATAGAACAGATTTCTATTCTTTTCCTACGCTTGTTGACTGGATTTGGGTAATTTTATAGGGCTGCAGCAGTTTTTTTCCCCAGATAATTGGCTCTCAAAAACAAAATCCATTGGACCAATTTACAAAAGGAGTTGAGAACATTCACACAAAAATGTGAATGTTCATTTCAGTTATCGTGCAGATGAAATAAGTAAAAATGAATTTGCTTTTCACATGATTTGGATAATTGAAGTGACAATTCACACAGCTCCTTTAATAAAACAACCTCTGTATCTACAATTCATTCTTCAAATAATCTGTACATAATAAGAAGTGCTAAGGCCTGACAGCCTCATGCACAAAGACATCAATGAGGCCAGTGGAAAGCAAAAGAACTTCAAAGTCACCTTTAATAGTAATAAAATATCATACTATAATTCCCTGATTTTCTGATATGACAAGCCCTTGTCTAAATGTCAGGTATTTAAATGCTTGTGCTTAATTGTAACAAATGCACAGGGAAGATTATTGGAAGGATTGAAGTGTATTTTATAACAATAGCATCACTAAATGATTGGAGGAAACATTCAGACATACAGTAAATACATACAAACAGCATTCTTGTGATAAACACACACAAGTAATTCCCTTTAAGTCAGCATTCAGATATCTGTTTCCAGGGAGAGGCCTGATTAGTCTTTGGGTCTTAAAAAAGTCAGAACTTTTGAATAAAGGACTGTAATTGTGACTGTGGTCACATCATGTCTTGTACAGCACATTACTCCACAGCAAGCAACAGCTGGACGCAGTGTGTTTGCTGACATGTTGAGGGATGTATCATGGAGGCATCTTGGAGCAATTATGTAAGGAGCTGGCGGATCTCTTTGTGAACAAGGCAGAGGAAATCCATATATGAAGCTCCCCCAAGTAGGCCTTTATCTTCTACCAGCAGCTGTCTGAACGCCATCTCTGCCTTATCCTTCTGCTTCACCAAGACAAGCTGAAATTTGTCAAATAAAAAGAACTATGTAAATATCTGTGGACTGTTTTAGCTGAGAGCACATTTAACAACATCACACATGAAAATAGTCATCTTCCAAATACCCAAGGAAATGGTATATCTCACTTAAGGTTCACTAGAAATTTCCATAATAATGTGGCAACTTCACACATCATGAAATTCATTAAAATGTGGCAATATATCAAATTAAGTTTAGCTAGAACTGTGGGTGTAAGCATAAAATGTAAGTCAAAGAATTCAAATGGCCAAAAGTACGTCTGTTTTCATAGTGGTTAATTCTTGATTGATTACAGTGTTTGTTTAATGCTGTATGTGGTATAACATGTGAAACATTTTTTTCCTACCTCTCTGTTCAGCCACCAGGAACACACAAAATTAGGATTTTTGTTTTACCTGTAAAATTATTTTTTTGGAGTACATCAAGGGACACAGCTAACTTCACATTCATGGCTACTTGGGTTATGTCGCCACTTTAAAGTGAATAAATCCCTGCCCAGGCATAACCTCTCCTACCTCAGCTAAGCCTCATTTTGTTGCTCATGTCCTTAGGTAATGGGTGTGCCTACAATGTCTCTTTGAAGATCTCCTTTCATGGGCTTCAGTTCCACACTTTCCGGTCTATTATAATATAATATAATTATTAACACCCCTAATGGGTTTGTTAAGGGATTGGTCACTACAGCCAGTAGGCCAAGAGGGAATGTACCTTGACCATGAAATGCAAATGCAGTGATGACCTGTAATGCTTCCAGTAGGTGCTGGATCCTGCAGGCAGCAATCTCCAGATTACAATGTACCAAGTGAACTTACTGGCAAAGTGCTCTACAGGTCCATGGCAATGATCCTCAGGGGGAGTCAAGTCCCTGAAGATCCTACAGGGCACACCCACCGTGATGGGTGAGAATTGGACTGGTGAGTGCCTCTGGACTAAGTGAACAAGGTAGCAACATATCCCTACAATGTCCCCTTGTGCATTGGGCTGCTATGCTGTCTTCTCTCGAGTGAAGTGAAAGGGGGAACCCCACTACAAAGCTGCCTCCAAGACTTTGCATCCAACACTGGCATCTACATAGGCATGAACATCTACCTAGTAAAACTTAATAAATGTGTGATGAAAAGACGAGGTAGCAAACGAAGCTTGAGACTGAATAGCCCCAGAAACACTGACACTCATGGTGGAATAAGGCCTGACTAAGAAAGGAGGAACCTTGCCCTTGATACCATAGACCTGAGAAAATAGATGAGGAATTCACTGACAAATAGTGGCTTGAGAAGTTTCCTGACCCTTACAGTGACCCTCAGGCAGAAACAGGGAATCAGACAGTTGAAGCAAAGCTGTGAACTTTAGATCAACTGGAAAAACTCAAACAACATCCAAACAGTGAAGATCCTTCTTCAGATGCTTAGAATTAGGACAAATAGATGGTAACCAAATAATTTAGGGAACAAGAGGGCCAAGGCCTCAACACCACCTTGTCCTGGTGAAAAACCAAAAGGCTCCCTTGCAGGAAAGTGTAGCCAACTCAGAGAACCTTCCAGCAGAGGTAATGTCAACTAAAAAGGCAGCATTGCATGAAAGGAGCTACAAAGGGATCTCTCAGACAAGTTCAAAGGAGTAGTCTGCAAGACAAGACCAAGTTAAGGTTGGGGACAAGGGAAGCTGAACAGACAGAACAATCCACCTGTATAACCCTGTACAAAGGATTTTACCAAGGAATGATATGCAATAGATCAGCCAAGGCTGATATTTGGCCCTTAAAGATACTTAAAGCCAGAGACATCTCTATGTCCAACTGGAGAAAGGCCAAAATGTGCCCTATGGCCTACTGTCAGGGATGAAACTCATGAGCCTCACACCAGGCGTAAAGGGCTTCCCATGTGAGGTGGTACACGTTCCAAGAGGTTTGTGATGGGAGTCACTTTGGGTGGGGGGCCCATGGAATCCAGCTCACTTTGGAGAGGTGGGGAGATCCCTGCCTTAGCTCCCCATATCCCTCTTATGTGTAAATCACCCTGTGCCTGTTAGGGGTACAGGGTGATCTGTCCTAATATTGTGTGGGATTTGTCTCAGACTGTGTAGACATGTTTAAGAGATAGGTGGGGGTTGTGGATTGTTTAATGTTATGTGTATTAGCTTAGTGGGGGGTGTCTCCAGCATCCCTCCCTCCTGATGGGACTGTCTGCTGGTGTAAAGTTTGAATACCTGTGGGTCTCTTGTTACTAAATGTAGATTGCCCCGCCCTGTGTCATTATGCAGGGAAGGGGGATTGTCCCCTAAGTGTATATATCTTGTATCTGTGTTCAAATAAACTAGTCTACCTCCTGGTTTAATAATAAAAATGTGATGACAACCAACCACAAATAATAGCGCAACCCTACACCAATAAATAATTAATAAATAATTAAATATTTAAATAAAGTCCATTAAAAAGTCCATAAATGATCCTTTGATAAATGAAATAATGTAATAATGAGATCCTCTTTCACCAACGTGCCATCCAGTGCTCAGAACACCCCATCAAAATGCACACTCACCATGTGATGGTGATAAACCAGCATATCTTTAAATATCCAGCTATCCACCACAATGCTCCGGTTTAAAGGAAATCCTCTCATATCGAATTAGTATGTGAATAAAAAACATACTCGCTATTGTGCAATATCATTCAACTAATTTATTAAGGTAGCAAATCCCCCCTTAAAACCGCACTCACAATGAGTATAAAACAATAAAGCAGAGATTGTTTAAGAGCCACAGGCTCTATCTCCGGCGTCTCACCCGCCCGCCCTCATCCAAGATGGCAATGGTGCAACCACGTTATCCGGACACATTGGACAGCATGCGTGCGTGCTGATGTCACCAATAGCCACACACACAAGGCGAGTATGTTTTTTATTCACGTGTACTAATTGGATATGAGAGGATTTCCTTTAAACCGGAGCATTGTGGTGGATTGCTGGATATTTAAAGATACGCTGGTTTATCACCAGCACATGGTGAGTGTGCATTTTGATGGGGTGTTCTGAGCACTGGATGTCACGTTGGTGAAGGAGGATCTCATTATTACATTATTTCATTTATCAAAGGATCATTTATGGAATTTTTAATGGACTTATTTATTTTTTATGTGCACATATGTGGTGGTGGATTTATTTATTGATTTATTAATTTATTGATTTATTATTTATCAATTCATATATATATTTATTTAAATATTTAATTATGTATTTATTGGTGTAGGGTTAAGCTATTATTTGTGGTTGGTTGTCATCACATTTTTATTATTTACAGTGTACTATTATTAATAGCAGCTCCTACCATGTATATTTTGAATTGAAGCACATTGGCGCAATGATGTTGGTTTAATAAGTGTTCTGTGATATATCTATACTGACACTGGTGGTGATCAACCTTTTGGTATTATCTCCTGGTTTAGTTCAAGACTGGTGTCGTCTAGTCTTGTATGGTCGGCTGTGGTGTCTGTTGTCAGTGTTCGGACGGGGAAGCGGTATTCTAACGGAAGTACTCAAGCACAGACTTGGTCGGTTCCGTTACAAGGTTGCCTTTGTGTCCGTGAAAAAGGAAGGGATTACAGAATCAGAAACACCCCTATGCCTCAAGTCTTGAGCTTCAACAGCCAGTGTTACCAAAGCAGGATGGAAGATTGGACCTTACAACAGCAAATATAGCTAATTCAGAGGAATCCATGGCTTGTGTGCCATGACATTTATGATTGCTGCATATTATGTTCTTGGCCAAGCTGGTGCAATCAGAAACACTGGAATGCCTTCCACCTTTAACTTATGCAACAGGAAAGAAAGCAGCTGCAGCAGCAGAGGGAAGGCATAAATCTGGGAAACGTGAACCCAAGGAGTCCCCAGGACATCCACCACAATTGCCTGAGGATCCCTGGTCCAGGACACACAACTGTCCAGGTTTTTGTTGAATCTGGATGCCAATAGATCAACATCTGGTGTCCCCCATGGCAGATAAAACTTATCTTTAACTGCTGATGGCTAAGAAAGTCCGCCTCCCAATTTTCAATTCCTAGAATGTACACGGCCAACAGGGCTGGAATGTTAAGTTCTAACCAAGACAAAATCAGGTCTTCTTCACCCTGAGCATCAACACTTCTTGTCCTTCCTTGTTGGTTGATGTATGCCACAGATGTGGCATTACCCAACTGCATCCTAAATGGGAAACCCTGAAGGTAGACAGACCAGCGTAAAAGGGCCAGCTGAATAACCGGAGTTCCAGGATGTTGACTGGCAACCTCTGCTCCTTTGACCACTCTGTTACCTGTCCTCCAGAACTCCTTCCGAGCCTGAAAGACTGGCATTGGGGACCACATTGATGGTGGCTACCATCTTCCCCAGCAGGTCAAATCAAGGAATTTTCCAACAACTACAGGGTGCCCACTTGGCATTTCTTCTTCACTTGTGCCATGTTGAGGACTAAGCCTAAGTACTCCAGACTTTTTGTGGGAACTTCTGAAGGTTCATCACTCAGCCGAACCTTTCCAGGATTTGTACTGTCAGCTGGATATTTGTTGTCAGCTTTTGAGCTTACTGCTCCCTGAGAAACAGGTCATCCAGACACCCCACAATGAGGATACCTATGGTCCTCGATAACCCCATCTTGTTGAACACTCTACGGGCCATGGGAAGACTGAAAGAAAAAGCCACAAATTGAGAGTGGCGATCCTCCACTGTGAGTTTGCAGAAATAGTTGCTGAGGCAGGAAAATCAGGATGTTAGGCAAGCATCCTCGATACAAGAAGTCCCGCTGATAAAGCAAACCAATCACCTATTGGGTGCATTCCATTCTGAATTTCTGTATTTTAGGAATCTATTGAGGCCCTTGAGGTCCAGGGTAAGTCAGAAGTCTACAACCAGTGTCCATTCACCTGAAGGTGGCAGCATCACTCAAGTACTCATGAATATGCAGTTCTCTGTGTCCTGTGATGTACGATTAAGAAGTACCTTTTATTTCTGGAAATGGAGCAGCGTGTGATTTACTCCATGTGACAGTGCTGGAGCTTAGTGCAGTTGACCCAGCACAGGGAGACAAGCATCCCTCTGCGAGATTTGACTGGAGAATCTGCTAAGCTTACATGGCACTGTCTTTCCTTGCTCCTAGTGACTAGAGTGGTGGGGGAGCAAATTGAAGGGATGTATTTTCTGCTTAGTAGGAATAATGTTTGGATAAGGCACAGGTTCACTAGATTCAAAACTCCCCCTTGCTGTTGCCATCAAACCAATAGCAGCCTGACACCTCAAATATTTACCCATATCCTAGAGTGGGGTCCCTGGAGTCAGAATGGCTGCTTCCTTTCTATCACTTCCACCTCTAAGAAACTACTGAGCGTGAATGCTAAAGGTGTGGGTGTAAGGCAGAAGTACTGATACTCTGGGGAGCTGAGAGCTAGCATGGTCCCTAGGGAAGGCTAAATTACAGGCCCTCAAACCAGTTGTGATCTAAATGTGAAAGCTGTATACATGTATAATTTTGTATCTGGTGGCATGTCACAAAGGCACAGAGACCTTGTAGTTCATTGTCTCTGGTTTCAGAGACTGCTTCTTTTATATGAACATGACTCTGATACAGGGGGCATACATTTCTCAATGATATAAACAAGAGACATTACCACTGTTGTGCTGAAAAATATACCTTCCTATCAGTGTTGGCAGCTGGCAGGCACTCTCTCAATAAAGATGTTAATAAATAGGAAATACAGCTCTTAATAAAAAAAATAAAGAAGGACATGAATTCTCTAATAATCCCCAGTTGCTTTGTGATTGTCTGTCACGGTCGGGCTCACAACACTGTTCTGCAAATTTTTTTTCTGGAAAACATGCTGCTTGTTAACTGAAAATGAAATTGCTCATACTAGCAGAAAGAGGCTTTTGTAGGCTAGCACAGACACCACCATCTCGTCAGTCCAGTAATGTGCTCCTTTCATACAGCACAGGTACAGCATGTATTGACTAATGGCACTGGGCAAAGAACTGCAAGGAAGCACAACATCCCAAAATGGCCACCTAAGCATGTGCTTGTAGACACTGCCCTGTCCCTATAGACTTTCCAACTTGAGAGAGTCTACAACGGGGGTCAGCAAACAGTAGATCACAATCTACCAGTAGATCGCAGCCAGGTGACTGGTAGATCACGGTCTGGGCTTGCTGACCCACCATCCCAGAGCATCAAACAGTGCAATGTAGAGGGACAACTTGTAAAGTTGGAGCTGTGGTAGGAAGTAAGAGCCAAGATGCCTCCTCTGCAGTGCTGGCTCCTGTCCCATGTGGAGTGGTACCAGCTGCACATCACATCTTATCCTGCCTAGCAGTCTCCAGAGTGGTGCCAGCATCAGGAAAGAAGAGATCTTTAGGTCAGTGTGAAACAATACACTGGGCATAATAGCATAGGGCTGCTTTTACACTGATGTGCTACAGTGTACCTGCAGCTTTTCTGTGGGTTTGCTGTACATAGCCATAGACTTCTATTATATCCTGCGGCTTTGGCGCTCTTTCTGAAAGTGCACCAAAACTTCAGGTTTTGGTGCGCTTTCAGAAAAAGCACTACACCTAACGGATATAATAGAAGTCTATGGCAAAGCGCAGCAAACCCAGGAAAGTCGCAGATGCACTGCGTTGCATCAGTGGTGCAGGTAAACTGCAGCACATCAGTGTAAAAGCAGCCCTATAGGGGGCTCAGAACAGTAAAGGTTCATTTATATTTGCAGTTTGGGGGTGGTTAAGATGTGTTTTTATCGCCCCTGCCCCAACCGCACACCCTTTAGCTGCAGTGTCTAGGAGTGCACACATGTCTCAGCCGCAGTAGGAGTTTTACATCCCGTCGTGGTTGGTAGGTATAGCTCCTGCCAAGCATGGCCCATTAAAGTGAATGAGGATGCTTTGCAAGTGCCCTGCTACCTTGTGCAGTACAGCAAACAAGGGGTTAAAGCAGGCAGCATTGTGTTGCTTTCTCAGCACCTGCTTTAACCCCCTGGATTCTGCAGAAGCATGCAGTTGCGGGGTGATTGCAGAGTGGCCCCATTTACTTGAATAGGTCATGATCATGATTGGCAGGTGATACCATCCACCAAATGCAACAGGGGGTTTAATGCCTGCATACGTACTTGTGTACACCTTTGGCTGTTGCTTCAGCAGCTAAAGGGGGTAGGGATTGGGGGTGGTCAAACCATAAATCAACCACAGGGTTTTAGTACCCCCCCCCCTACTTTATGTGTGAATGAACCCTAAGGGTGCTGCTGCCGAATGCAACTAAAGGCTCATTCACAAGGTGGTGAGGAGGTGATATATTGCCTCCTTATCACCTGATTTAAACTCGCGATTGCCATGCAATGCACGCGATTGCGACACGTAAGTACAATAATTAGAGGTTTAAATCAGGTGTGAGGAGGCAGCACTGTGCCTGGTGATCTTTGACTTCTCCCATGTTGTTCAGGTAGATCTCCACCTCTTTGAGGTTGCCTACCCCTGGTCTACAAGGTGCAGACTACTGTGTGTTGGAACTAAGCCGCACAACTACTGCTATCAGTCTCATTGCCCTGGGGTAGATGATGCCCATTATATGCTTCTCTCAAAGGCTAGGCCCCAAGCTAGGTTCCCTGCCCCCCTCCCACCTTCCCGCCTTTGTCTGTCCTGACAATGATATGAAGTTCCCGCATTGTAATACATTTCTTTGTGCTGCTCTCTAAAGCTGCAATTTTTCCTTTCTGCAGTTAAACAAATGAGCTTAAGTTTTTCCGTTAGTAACAATTTGGCAGAATATCATACCTTCATTGAATGTGAACTTTTGCTCTGAATAAATTCCATTATTTCCCTTAATTTTTTGGAATGAGGACTGTCCAGTTGAGGGAGAGATGTCTGCAATTAAAATATAATAATTCATGAAAACCTTAAACACACTAAGCCGAATTAAAAAATGCAAACTTGTTTTTTTTCATTGTTGCCATATTTACAGATTTACAGTTTCTGTTCCGCTAGCAGAACCACAATGTTACTTCCACTTTTCGTTAATAGTTTGTTATGTGTTATTATACTGCTGAAATGATTACATTCTCTTTTTGTCCTGGTGACCAATCTCATTGGGACAAAAGGTGTTGAGAAAACCAAAATATTACAGCTGTCACTAGAACAGGAGATGAGAGGAAGTCTTCAAATGGCGACAGCTGTTCCAGTTAAAACTGTCTAAACAGAGATACAGTCTGGCCGAAACACCCTTGAGATGAAAATCAAGTATTTCACACCTTGTTTTGCTATACACAATTCCCTTTGTATGTATTGGAACAAATATCAAATATTAATTTTGGGTGGACAAAAGTATTTTTAAATACCTTTTAACTTGAAAAGTCGCTTCCTATAACCATCAATAAGTTCACCCGAATTTTGCTTTGCAAAAAGCTCCAGGTCTCTCTTAATGGAAAACCTTTTCCCAACAGCAAATTTTTTTGTTCAATGGGATTTAGAATTGCTGGCCACTTCAAATGTGCCATCCATTTCTGAGTGCTTTTTATTATGTTTGGGTTTGTCCTGCAGAAGCCTGATGCAAACCATCGCTGATGGGCCCTACAGTGCGACCCAAAATCCTTTGTAATCCTCAGATTTCATGTCTTGCACTGTCAGAGTGCCTGCAAAACAACCCCAAAACATCATTGTATATCTGCTTACTCAAGTACATTTTGGCAAACTGTGTCTTGCTTTTTTATGTCTCTGTGTCAGCAGTGGGGTCCTCCTGGTCTCCTGCCATAGCGTTTCATTCATTTAAATGTCGAAATGTTCGCCAGCTGACACTGATGCCCCCTGAGCCTGCAGGTACAGCTTGAATGTCCTTTGGAATGTTCGCTGCTGCAACACTGATACCGTCCCACGACCAGGGAGATTGCCAAGGGTTGCCAAACTTCTTGTATAATGTTTGCCGCACTCAGGATGTACGAGCAAGCAAATATACTGACAGGCAAAGCTCTACAGCACCTGGTAGTTAATTGAGAACTACAAGCTCCCTGACAGCTGTCTACGGCTGTTGGGACTTGCAAATTTCATCATTTTCCTCACAGAGGACTGTGAATGAGTGATGCGACGGCAAATCACCATTTACCAGTTCATAAATGTGGTCAGACAGGCTGCATTAGAAAAAAAATAGCTTTCTGTTGTAACATTTTTTAAAAATCACAGTGGAATTTGACAGTTTTAAATCTTTACGTGAAGTGCAATCTAAATCTGCTAGGGTTTCCTAACACTACCAATTTCGGCCTCTGTATCTCCATACTGAAATTAAATACACTTTGCTGTAAGATCATGTGCAACCATTGTCACAGTGGTCACATGTTTGGAAGTACTGGAGCCATACTAGCTACAACTGTGTAGGACGGATATCCATCACTTTGGAGAGGAGTTTAATGGCTGCATTTGATATTGTAAAAAGGGACTTTAAATTTGAATATAAATTGTAGCTTACCAATCATTAAATGTGATGGCTGCCTTAGTTTTATTTTTAGAGGCTTATTTGATATTGTAAAGGGAATTTAATTTTTAGCCCATTAAATGTGATGGCTCTGTTTTGCTTTTTCCCTTCTGTTTTGAGAGTGCATACACTGCGTTACCTTTGGACAGCAGCCTTGCTAACTGCTTCCTAAATGCTGTATGTATATATACTGTTCAAAATAATAGCAGTCAGACATCACTAACCTGATCAATCACTATTTTTGGTAGAAATGATATTTCTACATGGCAAATAATTTACTAGCAAGTGTAGTAGAGTAATAGAAATCCAACAGACCCAACAGTCATGACATGCATGCTGCTGATTCTGTGTAATTGAATCACTAATTGAAAGGGGCATGTTCAAAATAATAGCAGTGTGGAGTTCTATTAGTGAGGTCATTCATTCTTTGAAAAACAGGTGGCAATTATTGCCCTTATTTAAGGAAGGAAGGCAGCAAATGTTGTACATGCTGGTTACAGTGCACTTCTCTCTGAAATTCTGAGGAAAATGGGTCGTTCCAGACATTGTTCAGAAGAACAGCGTACCTTGATTAAAAAGTTGATTGGAGAGGGGAAAACATACAAAGAAGTGCAGAAAATGATAGGCTGCTCAGCTAAAATGATCGCAAATGCTTTAAAATGGCAACCAAAACCTGAAAGACGTGGAAGAAAGCGAAAAACTACCATTCCAATGGATAGAAGAATAGCCAAAATGGCAAGGACTCAGCCAACAATCAGCTCCAGGAAGATCAAAGAAGGCCTAAAGTTTATGACAGCTCGGTCACAATGCTCTCAGCACAGAAACCTTGGCGGCCCATAAACACATACAGTTGTGTTCAAAAATAATAGCAGTCAGACATCACTAACCTGATCAATCACTGTTTTTGGTAGAAATGATATTTCTACATGGCAAATAATTTACTAGCAGGTGTAGTAGAGTAATAGAAATCCAACAGACCCAACAGTCATGACATGCATGCTGCTGATTCTCTGTAATTGAATCACTAATTGAAAGGGGCATGTTCAAAATAATAGCAAAGGCTTTAAAATGGCAACCAAAACCTGAAAGACGTGGAAGAAAGTGAAAAACTACCATTCGAATGGATAGAAGAATAGCCAAAATGGCAAGGACTCAGCCAACAATCAGCTCCAGGAAGATCAAAGAAGGTCTAAAGTTACCTGTGAGTACTGTTACCATTAGAAGACGCCTATGTGCTATGTGAAGCCAAGCTATCTGCAAGAAGCCCCCGCAAAGTCCCACTGTTGAAAAAAAGACATGTGCTGAAGAGGTTACAATTTGCCAAAGAGCACATTGACTGGCCTAAAGAGAAATGGCGCAACATTTTGTGGACTGATGAAAGTAAGATTGTTCTTTTCCAATAGAAACTTGTGGGGTGACATCAAAAATGCAGTTTCTGAGGCAAAACCAAGAAATAGAGAAGAACTGTGGAATGTAGTCCAATCATCCTGGGCTGGAATACCTGTTCACAGGTGCCAGAAGTTGGTTGACTCCATGCAACACAGATGTACAGCAGTTCTCAGAAACAGTGCTTATACAACTAAATATTAATTAAGTGATTCAAAAGAAAGCAAAATCTTCAAACATTTTTCAGTTTATATAGTGAATGTTTGAGTTTGTAAAGAAGAATACAAACACTGCTATTTTTTTGAACAGCCTAATATTCACTTTTCTTCAATTTTTTTTAGAGGAACAACACAAATTTGATATATTTTTCTTCACGTTTTGATTTGGAATAGAATGTGTAGTGTTCCCAATGCATTTGTGTGTATGGAAATAAAAGCTATTAGAAGGATTTTGAGCTTTATTCACTTTTTTCAACACACTGCTATTATTTTGAACACAACTGTACATCCTCACTCGGAAGTAGTGATACCAGAATCCTGGTATCATTTTGTTCAACTGGCTATGGGCTTTCCTGTAGAACTGATCCGAGTAGCTTTAAAGCTGCCCAATCACTTCTACATGGCACAGAAAGGGCCCCCCCCTACTGGCGCTGTTCCACTCTCTGGTGCAATCAGGAAGCCCAGGACTGCTGCGACCTGTCGGGCCTGGTGAACATTCGTAGCAGTCCCTCCTCTGCAACGTCAAAGGATTTAATCACTTCTGGTTTCAGTTTGTTGTTTAGAAGCCGTTACTGGCTTGTAAAGCATCTGATCAAACCGATCTTGGTTTGATCAGCTACTTTTGAGAGCAGAGGAAACATCTCTCAGACCACAGATCTCTCAGTAAAGAGTACCTGTCACTGTCCATGTTATCACAAGAGACATTGTTCATACCTTGTGATAGAAATAAAGGTGATGCAAAAAAAACTTAGAGACAGTATAAAATAAATAAAATTGTCCCTCATCCCTCTGCTCAAATACGAACACTTACATAGGTCTCCCACACAGATATAAATAGTGATCGCACCACACATGTGAGGTATCACCAAATGTCAGAGAGAGCAATAATTCTAGAAGGTGACTTCCTGTATAACTTTAAACTGATAACCTGTAAAGGCTTTTTAAGCATCACCAATGGAAAATTAAATGTGCCGTAGTTTGTTACCATTCCACAGACGTGTGCGCAATTTTAAAGCATGACATGTTAGGCATCTACTTACTCGGCGTAACATAATTGTTTAGAATCCATTAAAGTGTACCTTTTCCTGAAACTTTGCATTTGATAAACCACTGTGCAAATATTGACATAAAAATGAATTATTATTTTATTTCCCCTGGCCTTTGTTTTCAGAAAATAAATAGTGTTTGAGGGCTCCAAGGAATTCTTTAGCAAAAAAATGCAGATTGTTATTCATGTGAGATTGTTACATGCAGATTTAGATACACTAACAAATTAACGCTGAACTACAGCTAGCACTTTTTAAGCAGTTACAGCAACAGTTTTTTTCTCTTTTGGGATAAAGGCTTTACATAAAATCTGATCATTGTAAGCACCCCTGTTAGTGTTAAATGGTTTGTCTCAAACCTCTAACTGCTACATCTGCAGGACAGTTTGTTCTGTTGGAAAATCAACACACTTACTGGCAGGATCACTTAGTGAAAATAAAAGAAATCCTAAAAATGAAAACAAATGCAACCATCACATCTAAGAATTGGTAAGCTGCACTATAGTAAATGTTTGCTTTTGGGTTTAATATTGCTTTAAGTTAACAGGAGAGCAGTCACATTGTTGCACTACCACAACAAGCTTAATGGTATGAATAACTTACAGCTTCTGGGGTGATGTGTGCAAAGGAAGGCACATTAAATATCCCTTGGATGAATTCTGGTGGTGAACTGACACCCAACCACAGGAACATGAAGACGCCATTGGCCAAAAGGAATATCCCTCCTTCAGATAAGCGCTCCTCAGAACAACGGACAGCTGAAGGAATGGCATCACTCTTGGTGTCCATCGTATGCTTTAGTTAAATTGAAAACAACATAATTATTTACTGAGTAGAGTCATTGTTCTAATACAGATATACAAAACCACACTGAAAGACAATAAACTCAAATTTAACCCCTGCCTGCCCATCTTGGAATCCCTTTAAACAGCTCTGAACATGCAGGGGACTGGAAGGACTGGCATGTGACCATTGTCATGGTGGTCACTTGTTTGGAAGCCTGTCCCACCAACTACCAATCTTTAGTTCAGACTGAGAGCTGTCTTTGTGCTGGGAAGCGCACAGTGATCTGAGATTGTTTTTACTGGATTTCTTGTTCCTTTATATCTGCAGAGATTTTAAAGTCTCTATTGTTTACAATGACAGATATTCAAAAATGTAATGTTTCTGCACAGAACCTCTTCACAATTATCTAAGGCAGCCTGTGAAATGCTCTTATAGATTAACTTTTCACGGTTTTATAGCTTTTATACAGCAACCAGCAAAATGTGAGCACTTTTCAAAAGACACAGTGCAAGCTTTACCTTCGCTTCATTGTGCTTCTAAAGTAGTGTCATCTGCTATCATTTACACACAGGTAACTTGAATGCTATGATTTAATCTCTATTTTTATAATGATAAGGTTCTATAATTCATTTTCAGAAAAGATTGGCCTCAAAGAAGGTCAAAGCTAAGTCCAGCCCTGACTGGGGCCCACTTTGTCTGCATGCTCCTTCATACTAAAATCAAATAAAAGTAAAAGTAAAATGAATATAAGCAGTTATATCAAATGTATTCCTGCAGTTACATTTGCGGTTACCAATGATGGTGGCTATAATATTTTACAGATGTAAATATAGGTGAAGCCTTGGTGTCATCTATGTTGGAAAGTATTGCAAAATATATTCCCATGGGCAACAAGTTTAAAAGGCTAAAAATCAAACCTATGTGGCTTACAGACAGTTAAAAAAGCTATAGATAATAAGAAAAGAGCTTTTATTAAATATTAAAATGAAGGAACGCTATCATTGTTTAAACTTTACAAACAATATAACAGAATATGCAAAAAGGAAATCAAGGCCGCAAAAAAATTAAAACAAACGACAGATTGAGAAAGATAGCAAGACAAACCCCCAAAAATTCTTCAAATATATTAACAGTAAAAAGGTCAGGTCTGTGCATGTAGGCCCTTTACAAAATAATCTGGAGTGGGTGACTGGGGACAAAGAGAAGGCAAATTTATTTAATACCTTCTTCAGCTCTGTGTATACAAAGGAGCATGGGGAGCTCTTGTCCATAATGGGTATGGTATTGACACAGCTCCAGATGATCCACATTGGCTCACAATTGATATGATCCAAAAATATGTAGACAGAGGTGAGCAAAACCTTGGACAGAGAGGTGACGGTGGACATGAAATACTTGGATTTTGCAAAAACGTTTTGACACAGTTCCCCACACATGGCTAATGTGTAAGGTAAAGTCTACAGGCTTGGAAAAATACGTATGAAAATAGATAGAGAACTGGCTAAAAGATCGCATTCAGAGAGTAGTGGTTAATAATTCATACTCTGAATGGTCTAGGGTTGTCAGTGGTGTACCCCAAGGACTCTTACATTTTAATACATGTATAAATGATATAGGGTCTGGGAATAAAAATACCATTTTAGTCTTTGCAGATCACACCAAGCTGTGCAGTGGAATAACTTCCTTACCGGGTGTCTCCAACTTACAAGCCGACCTCAATGCACTGTTTAATTGGGCAACTATGTAGCAAATGAGGTTTAATGTTGATAAATGTAAGGTTATGCACTTGGGGGCTAAGAATATGCATGCATCATACATACTGGGGGGGGGGGGTACAACTGGGGGAATCAATGGTGGAGAAGGATCTGGGAGTTCTGGTAGATCACAAGCTTAATAATGGCATGCAATGCCAAGCTGCAGTTTCTAAAGTGAGCAAAATCCTCTCTTGTATTAAAAGAGGTATAGACTCCAGAGAGAGAGATATCATATTACCCCGGTACAAATCATTATAAAGTCCTCATCTGGAACATGCAGTTCAGTTTTGGGCACCAATTTACAAAAAGAACATTGGGGAACTGGAGAAAGTACAGAGAAGGGCAACCAAACTGATAAGAGGCATGGAAGAGCTCAGCTATGAGGAAAGATTAGAGGAACTGAATTTATTCTCTCTTGAGAAGAGGAGATTAAGGGGGGATATGATCAACAAGTATAAATACATCAGTGGTTCATATAGTGAACTCGGTGTAGAGCTATTCACCCTGATGTCATCACAGAGGACAAGGGGGCACTCTACGTCTGGAGGAAAAGAAATTTAATCTCCAAACACGGAAAGGTTTCTTCACAGTGAGAGCTGTGAAACTGTGGAATAGACTCCCTCAAGAGTTGGTTCTGGCCAGCTCAGTGGATTGCTTTAAAAATAGCCTGGATTCTTTCATAGATACACAGAATATAACTGGATACTAACATTTATAGGTAAAGTTGATCCAGGGAATATCCAATTGCCTCTCGGGGGATCAGGAAGGAATTTTTTTCCCTGCAGGAGCAAATTTAATCATGCTTTGCTGTTTTATTTTGCCTTCCTCTGGATCAACTGTGGGTATAGGATTATAATTTTTTTTTTTTTTAATGCTTGAACTGGATGCACTTTTGTTTTTTTTTCAGCCAGACTAACTATGTAACTATGTTTCTGCTGTAGTGTACTCAATGTTTGACCACCAATGCACCTGCTGTTATCACTTACTAAGGGTAGAAGCAGTGGATAGAAGAAGAGCTGGGAGCTGGCCACATCCATAGACATAAGCAGCTGTCTCTGAAAAGCCCGCTCATCAGTGGCAATCTCTGGGCTGCCAACCAGGACCTCATTCTTTAACAAGCAGTTCATGTAGACTGGAAGCACTTTCATGGAATCAGGAAGGATGAGCTGGTAGGAAAGATAGTAAGAGTATTATACACTTTATGTTCCAGAATTAAAATTTAAATGTCTTGAATGTAACAGAAAATTGACATTCATTGCAAAGAAACTCTATGACGTGTATTGTGAGATACCATGCTTACTGAAATACATTGCTCAAAAAAATTAAAGGAACACTTTGAAAACACATCAGATCTCAATGGGGAAAATCTCATGCTGGATATCTATACTGATATGGACTGGGTAATGTGTTAGGAATGTAAGGATGCCCCATCGTTTGATGGAAATGAAAATTATCAATTTACAGAGAACTGAATTCAAAGACACCCCCAAATCAAAGTGAAAAAATTATGCAGCAGGCTTGTCCATTTTGCTGAAATTTCATTGCAGCAACTCAAAATGGTACTCAGAGACATTCACACCAGTGGCCTGCTGGAGGTCGTTTTTGTAGGGCTCTGGCAGTGCTCATCCTGTTCCTCCTTGCACAAAGGAGCAGATACCAGTCCTGCTGATCAGTTAAGGACTTTCTACGGGACTGTCCAGCTCTCTTACAGTAACTGCCTGTCTCCTGGAATCTCCTCCATGTTCTTGAGACTGTGCTGGGAGACACAGCAAACCTTCTGGCAATGGCATGTATTGATGTGCCATCCTGGAGGAGTTGGACTGCCTGTGCAACCTCTGTAGGGTCCAGGTATCGCCACATGCTACCAGTAGTGACACTGATACCTAGCCAACTGCAAAACTAGTGAAAAACAGTCAGAAAAGATGAATAGGGAAAAAAAATGTCAGTGGCCTCCACCTGTAAAACCATTTCCTATTTTGGGGGTTGTCTCATTGTTGCCCATCTAATGCACCTGTCGTTATTTCACTAACACCAAAGTAGCTGAAATTAACAACCCCCTCTGCTACTTAACTGATCAGATCAATATCCCAGGAGTTTAAATGACTTGATGCTATACTCTGATTAAAAAGTGTTCCTTTAATTTTTTTGAGCAGTGTACATGGGCTGCTTTTGCTGAAATCTTCTGATATCAGCATAAGCATACTAATCCAGCAGCTTTAAAGTGGTAGTAAACACACAGTAATAAAAAAAATGGTCCCCTAGCAGGCTCATTTCATAATGAGAACAGGATTAGTAACACCCTAGGATTCCCTCTCACTTCCTGTTTTGGCTATGGGACAGGAAGTGAAGGGAAATCTCTGCGTCAGAAAAAGATGGCTTCAGAAATAGAAAATGTTCCTTTTGGAGTGGACCAGTCAGAGCCCAGACCTAAACCCCATGCTGTGGAATGACCTCAAGAGAGCCGTCCATAGCAGACATCCTACAAATGTGTCTGAGCTGAAACAGGCTTGTAAAAAGAGATGGTCAAAAATTCCCCCTGAAAATTGTGCAGGTCTGATCTAGAGTTACCAAAAACACTTGCCTGAAGTCATTGCTGCCAAAGGAGGTTGGACCAGCTATTGACTCCATTGGTTCACTTACTTTTTCCTCCAGCACTGTGAATGTTTAATGGGTGTGTTCAATAAAGACACAATAAATTAGAATTAACAGCTTCCCAACCGCCCTATAGCACATATACTGCTACGCGAGGGTGTTCGCGAGCCGTGCGTGTGCCCTACCCACACTGCATTCGCAGCTGTCAATCACCGGGTCCCAGTTGGAGATTGCTCACCAGCGCCCGGTGATTTCTGTGGATCTCTGATGGGGAGGAGAACTGTTTTGTTTACTAACAGTTCTCCTCCTTGTCAGCTCAGGCACAGCACAGCCATCCAGAGCAGTGTGATTACAGTGAAGCACACTGACACCGCCCCATAGTAAAACACTCCCAGCACACAGTTAACCCTTTGATCACCCCCCATGTTAGCCCCTTCTTGTCAGTGCTTTTTTTAACACTGATCACTGTATTAGTGTCACTGGGGATGTCAGTGACACCAAGTCAGTTCCCCCAGTGTCAAAATGTCCGCCGCAGTCCCACAGTCCCGCTGTAAGTCGCTAATCACCGCCATTACTAGTAAATAAAAAATGTAAACAAAAATCCCAGTATATTTACCGCCATTTTTAAACACTATAACGTTCACGTGAATCAATTAATTTACACGTATTGGGATTTTTTCCTAGCAGACATGTCGCAGAATACATTTTGGCGTAAATTTATGACGAAATTTGATTTTTAAAATTTGTTTACTGGACAAGTTCAATAGCAAAAAGTCAAAAATATTTTTTTCTGAACCACCTCCCGTCCGTGTATATAAACGGCCTCCCTGCACCCTGCGAGGTCCCGATCATGTGATCACTGATTGGCCAATCAGTGATCACATACAGAGTAGTAAGCAAGATGTCACTTCTGACATTGCTGACATTGCTTACTACTTGTGAAATCTGTGAACGATCACAGAGGTCACAAGGTACAAGGCTATTCACAACAGCCTTGTACCATGTGACAAGCTGTGACCAATCACAGCTCACACAGTAGTTCGCAATGGCTGCAAAAATGCAGCCAGAGAGAAGGAGAAATGATTGCTTTTACAGCCTTTATGGGTGTGTAAAGCAATCAGTGTAAAAAAAAAAAAAAATCATCACCCCCCACAAGTAGTACAGTGTCACCATGATGATACTGTACTGCTAGGGTGACAGTATGTAAAAAAAACACACATAAATAATAAAATAAAAATGTAAAAAAAAAAGGTTTAAAAATTATAATTTTTGGTTATAAACTAATTTGGGTTATTTTTTTTTTTACTAAAAAGATAACGGAATAAATTTTGGCAAGATTTATTTGCAAAATTTTATAAGAAAAACACTTTTTTTCAAAATTTTTGGACTCTTTCATTTACATAGCAAAAAAAATAAAAATCCTAGTGGTGAATAAATACCACCACAATAAAGCTTTATCTGTCTCAAAAAAATGCTAAAAAAGCCATATGGGTACAGTGTTGCATGACTGCGCAATTGTCATTCAAAGTGTGATAGCGCTGAAAGCTGAAAATTGGGCAGGAAGGGGGTGAAAGTGTCTGAACATGAAGTGGTTTAAAATTGTTGGACTTTTTTTTTAATACTGCAAAAAATGAAAAACACACCGGCGATCAAATACCACCAAAAGAAAGCTCAATATGTGGGAAAATAAGGATATAAATTTCATTTGGGTGCAGCGTTGAATGACCGCGCAATTGTCAGCTAAAGTAACGCAACGCAATGCAAAAAATGGCATGGTCAGGAAGGGGGGGGGGTAAATCCTCAGGAGGGCAAGTGGTTAAGCACATTGTGTTTGTTGTGACTAAAGCTCCAAACACACATTGAGAATATCGGCCGAATGATCATCGGTTTTTATTTTGCATGCTAGTTTACATATCGAAAATAAAGAGGTTACTAAAGTCACGAAAATTCTTGTACGACAGAAGAATAAAAATTCGGAAACGATGTAATGTATTGTATTTTCAGATGAAAACTGTACTGACTAAAACAAAACGAAAATCATACGATCTGGTATAATACGAGAACAATTTCCGTGCTTCTCCCTTCTTAATTTCAGATGAAAGCTGTGTACTAACGATCAGATTATTGTAAGATGGTTCTGAAAGCGGTATTATTCGTATCATTTTCTGATTACGTGTACTAGGCATTAGATCACATTTTAATGCAAATTACTGCAGCAAACCTGTCAATTTCAATGGGTTCAATTACTTTTTCTTCCCACTGTATGGATCCGTGAGGCTGCATTTACTAAAAAAAAAAACATTTTCAAAAGAATCTCCAGCTATAACCATTTAGTTTACAAAGCGACAGGCTGCGTCCAATTAGGAGTTGAATGCCTTTCCATCATACAAGGCACGTGTACAGTTACAATAAATGAAAGCACTAGTTTGAAGTGAGCTTAATAATACTGGGAAATAAGCAGCCAGAATACAGTAATGGTGATAAGAACAGAGAGATAATGACATACAAAACTGCATAAGCAAAACACTTGATTATTCATACTTACTTGGCTAACAGCCGAGGGACTTGCACAGTGCTTCCTATAGCATGCTAACATGTGAGCTGTCTGACTGATCAACACATCACGCACTGTCTTCAGAGGGTGATGCAGGATTGCTTTGTAAGCTGAGATGACACAATACAGTGAAAGGTTTAAGGGGGATTGCATATACTAGCACACCATCATTTAAAGGTACATCTCTGCCAGGAATGTGAAGAATGAGCTGCAGTACCAAGTGAATCCACTAGATGTCACAGAATTCTAACACAAACAGCTATATCCAGAATTTACTTATTATTATGTATGTATTATGTATTATTCTGTGCAGATTTTACCAGCACTAGATCCAATGTGATGACTATGTATTTTCTGTACTTCTAAAAAAGGAAATCGGACATTTAAAAAGAAATGTGTATTAATTTCTGTGTTCCATTCCTTTGTACATATTGCATTATAAACTGCCTTCTTGAAAATCCTATACTTTGTGCTTATGAGAAGCTCTACTGAGCAGGGGCGGACTGACAACTCATGGGGCCCCCGGGCAATAGGGGATCATGGGGCCCCTGTGTCCTTGCCCAAACTCAAAGAAGCCTATGAAAAAGGTACCAGGGGCATCTCATGGGGCCCCCTACTGACCCCGAGTTTCCAAATGGTCAGTCCCGCCCCTGCTACTGAGTGTGGTTCACTTTCACATTTCACATATAGATATTATTAGAAATCAGCAACAGAATTCTGACTGAAAAGAGCAAGAGTTACCTGATTTAGCAAAGAAGTTTATGAGGGCATCTGTCTCACAGCTCTTGTATAGATCTGCAAGTTGGGAACTGCAGTTGAGACTAATGTTGTGAACTAATAGACGTCTCTGTCCGCTGATGGTTGTGTATAGAACAGCACACTAGAGTAACACAGGAGAAAAACAATTATTTAACATGCACACATATTTTTACTACATCACATTTTTAATGTGTGTATCAGGGGCGGACTGACAACTCATGGGGCCCCCGGGCAATAGGGGATCACGGGGCCCCTGTGTCCTTGCCCAAACTCAAAAAAGCCTATGAAAAAGGTACCAGGGGCATCTCTTGGGGCCCCCTATTGACCCCGGGCCCTTGGGCAGTGCCCGAGTTTCCAAATGGTCAGTCCGCCCCTGGTGTGTATTGAGTACAGTGAAATGGAACCTTCCTAATTCCACAGTCATTTTGGTTGTCTTTCTGTTCCCCATTATAGAGATCTACCCTCCATATTTGTGGCAGTGATCTTTTTTATTGGGTTAGGACTCATGTACACGGGATGTTTGGAAAGACTTCTGAACGATGGAAACTGACTGCTGGAAAACGTAGGTTAAAAAATGTCTGTTTAGCAGCATTTGCATACCGCGTTTATGTGCTATTATGAGCGTTTGCGTTTAGAAGCGTTTTTTAAAGATAACCTCAGGAGACCTTCCAAAATCCCCAGAATGCACTGAAAAACAGTAAACAAATAACTATTTTAGACATTTTTAGAGGAATAGAGAGAGCAGAAGCAGAGAGAGCAGTATGTGTTGAGATGACCTGTCTTTTCTGGTTGTATGCACTATGGATCCCATCATGAGCATAATGCAGCACGTTCTACCATTTTTTCCTTCACGCAAAACCTGGAACTGACTGCGTTGGTGTGCTAGGTCCATTTGAATACATGGAAAACACTTTGCATGCATTTCTGATGATGAAAAAAGGTTCTGGACAGCATCTGGACATGGAACAGTTAAAAAATGCTTCTAGACGCAAATGCTTATAAATGTGGTTAGCTGCATTTACAAGCGCTTGGTGTTTGAAACGCTGATAAAATCTACACCTGAGTGCAAGTTTGGTGCGTTCAAAAAAAAAAAAAAACGACTGTAAACTCAACTGCCTGCAAACAACGATGTGTACATGGACACATAGGAAAGCATTCAGGGGCTGCTGAAAAGAAAGCAGAAAAGCTCCTGACCGTGAGTTTATCAGCTGCAGTGTACATGAGCCCTTAGAGGTGAAGTGAAGAGAAATCTAAAATGCTATGGCTGTCGCCAGAATACTTGAGGAGGTGATGTCTTCCATTAAGCACACCTATCCCAGTAACAACAGCCAGAGTTGGGATTTCACTAAGGAGAGGAAATCAATGAAAATCCTTCTGGTGGGAACACAAATGAAATACTAAGGTGAAAGACGTTCTAACTCGTCCTTCCTTTACTGTGCAAAAGCATTGCTTTGGGTTCTTCTGTGCACTGCGCAAAGAGTACCACTGTGGTGCAATCATATTCTATGTGTAAAGTGATAAAGGCTGCAGTAAATTTAGATTTTTTTTTAATAAAACAAAGCCACTGGGAATAAGCAGGCCATGTAAACATGTAAAATGATTTCTATCTAATCTTATGGGAATTGCAAGAGTAGTTTAGTGACTTCTCTTCTTAACCTATTGTTGAGCTCTGCTGACCCATGTACAAAGCGGACCTGCTACACATATGGTGTATACCGTGACATCGATGGACACAGAATAACAGAAGAACACAACATCAAGCACACAACATCATCTGTAAAACAAGGTGGATGCAGTGTGATGGCATAGGCATGCATGGCTTCCAGTGGCACTGGGTTATTTTATTGTTTATTGATGATGTGACAGAAGTCAGAAGCAGCTGGATGAATTCTGCAATGTTTAGAGATATACTGTCAGCCCAGATTCAGCCAAATGCAGCAAAGTTGATTGGACGGCACTTCACAGTACAGATGGACAATGATCCAAAACACACTTCAAAAGCAACCCAGGAGCTTTTGAAGGAAAAGAAGTGGAATATTCTGCAATGGCCGAGTCAGTCACCTGATCTCAACCCCATTGAGCATACATTTCACTTGCTGAAGGCAAAACTAAAGGCAGACCCACAAACAAAGAACAACTGAAGACAGCTGCAGTTACAGCCTGGGGAAGCATCAGAAAGGAGGAAACCCAGTCTTTGGTAATGTCCATGTGTTCCAGACTTCAGGCAGTCATTGCCAGTAAAGGATTCTCAAAAAAATAGTAAAAATAAACATTTTATTTATGAATATATTCAATTGTCCATTTACTTTTTTGTCCCTTGAAAAAGGGGGATGGCTCTTCTTATGAGTTGTAATCCCTAAACCCTTCCTCCAATTTGGATGTACATACCCTCAAATTAAACCTGAGAGTGTGCACTTTCAGCCCATATCCATTATAAAACTATAGATTGAATATGTTTTGGTAAATACCTGAAAAACACTAAAATTGTGCCTGCGTCCAAATATATATGGACCTAACTGTATGTTACATAGTCTATAAGGTTGCAAAAGAGACAAAGGTCCATCCAGTTCAACCTATGTGTGTGTATGTGTGTGGGATAGTTATTATTTAACAATTCCCATAACCCTGTATATTCTGAGAGCCCCACCTCTGCTGCAATCTCCCAGGTAGAATTATACAAGGGACATTCAAGTCAAACCAGGACTTTTGAGTTTATACAGTAAAAGAACAAATTTCAAGGAGTGGAAATTGCATTTATTTTTTTACATCCCTGCTACATTTATACACCTATCATAGCATTTACCTAATGCCAGTAAGATTTGTCAGTACTCTTGAACCATCCTAGGACAGCCTGCTTCTCATCATCATTGTGTTCACTGTTCCCACAGAAACATTTGTCTGTTGTGCAATTTTACGGCAGGTTATGTGTCAATTATCTAGGATCAGGCGTTCCTGTGAATGTTCACAGGAATGACAGCTGTGGGCTGGGAGTGTCACTGATGGATGTACGGCCATCTTTGAAATGTTTACACCAGGGGTCCTCAAACTACAGCCCGCGGGCCATTTATCCGGCCCGCTAGGGTGCTTTGTAATATTTGTGATCCACGGCGGCATCCCCCTGCGTACTTTCTTGGCGGCATCTCCGTGCGTACTTTCTTGGCGGCATCCCCTGCGTACTTTCACTTTCTCTTTCATTCCACCAGCACCACCACGCTTGACTGACTCTGCCTCTCCCTCCCTCAGCTCCCTCACCTGCCCCTCGGCTCCACCTCGGCTCCACCCGCAGTGATATTCCTGTGTGCTGGAGATGTAGATCCGGCTGGCGTGGCGCCGGCACCACTGAGTAAATGATAGAGGGGTGGTAACAGAGTGATCGCTGTGATCTCTGGAGGGGCTGCCTGCAGTTCTCCCGTGCTGGGCAGTGACAGACAGCCAAGGAGAAGGAAACCCAATTTAACTGACAGTAAGTGCATTTATATTCTGATTGCTATTCAGTTGTATGATGTTGTATCATGTGTGCTGTGTAAGCCCCGGTTCACACTGTTGCGATCTCAGAGATCACATGTAATTCCCACCCGCACCGCAGGTGCGGATCACATGCGATCTCTGAGCAGTGCGAGTTCAGCCATATGCTTGTATGGCTGAACTTGCATTAGATTCCTGAATTAAACATCTGAAATCTCTCCAACCAGATCTAGACTAACTGATGCACACTTGCATCACTTGTTACGACTAGCAGTGACAAATATGGAACCGGACATTGACCATCTCATTAGCCAAAAGCAGGCCCATAGTTCCCATTGAAATACTAATAAGTTTGTTGATTAAACTTTACTTGTTCTTCATTTTAAATATTGTATTTGTTCCCGTTTTGTTTTTTCACTTTAAAATAAGATATGTGCAGTGTGCATAGGAATTTGTTCATAGTTTTTTTTTTTTTTTAAACTATAGTCCGGCCCTCCAATGGTCTGAGGGACAGTGAACTGGCCCCCTGTTTAAAAAGTTTGAGGAACCCATTTAAATGTCTTACTGTGGCTGAGTGTCTCATCACCGTACTGAACTTGAAGTCTTCTGCAGATATCCGCGGTTTTTACACCTTCGTTCACAAGAAACTTCATTACCACACGCTGCTTCACACACGTACTAACACTGTTGTCTGCTATCTTGATTAACAATCTCTGGACTGGCCTGCGACGTGTGCACCGCCTATCAGTAACAGCAAGGGAGAATGTCTCCAGCACACCGAGAATCACCAATATGGGTCCAAAAGTTTTAATGAAAAATCACATAGTTACAGCAAGGCAACATTTCAGTCTTGCAGGACCCCCTTTATCAGGCATGTGACGAAGGATGTAAATCAATCTTGCCAGGATCCCATGCCAGGATCTAATTATTATTATTTATACCCAATAAAGTGTTAAAAACACTGAAATGATACTAAAATGAGAACGATAAACCCTTAGCCAAAACAGACATCTCATCTGATCAAAATGGTGGAATATATAAGGTTTTTATACACTTGGATACTGTTTTCTTATATGTATTTGAAATATTGATTTTTTTTTTTTGTTCAGTTGATGTACTGCTGTACCTACGTTTTGGTTTCTTTTTGGACATGTCTGCAAGGAGGGATTGCTTTAAGTCAGCTTTCAGTTTTAAAAAACGCACAGCACGCTTCAAGCGCATTGTGTTAAAATTTAGCGCAACACATCTGAGTTGAATAGATGGTTGTCAAGGACGCCATCGGGTGCCAGCTCCTTAAAGTGGTAGTAAACTCTGGCAGTCTTCCTTTATAAAAGCAGTAGGATAAAGCTTTACATAACATTCTTTACTTAGATTTTTCTTATTTGTTTTGAAGGGTCTGTCTAAAGTCTTGCTTCCTGGCAGCACCTTTAAAAAACAGCTAGCTATTCACTGACTGGTAAAGACACTGGCAGGTGCCAGCTCTGCTATTCACTGGTTGTTAAGTAGCCGGCACCCGCCAGTGTCCTTAACAACCATACATGATACATGATAACTACACGTATGCCTCCCTCCCGTATCTCCACAGTGGTCAGCATGCTCCAGCTCCCCTTTGCTCAATCTCTTGTGCAAGAGCGATTCTACCGCCAAAAGGGGGAGGAGCCAGAAAGACTGGGAGCAGGGGCAGACAGACAACTCATGGGGCCCTCGGGCAATAGGGGATCATGGAGCCCCTGTGTCCTTGCCCAAACTCAAAAAAGCCTATGGAAAAGGTACCAGGGGCATCTCATGGGGGCCCTACTGACCATGGTCAGTCCGCCCCTGACTGGGAGTGAGAACAGGAGAGGGGGGGTGGCCATACCGACACCTCCACAGGAAGGAGGCTGAAAGCAAAGGAATAACTGTGACCACCATGGAGGGGGGGGGATTGTTGATGTATATATCCGCTGGTTGTTAAGGACCCCGGCATGTGCTGACTCCTCAACAATCAGCTATTCACTTGTTTTTAAGGAGATCAAAACCCTGGGGCACACCAGTCCCAATTTTAGATTTTAGACTTTGTGTGATATGGAGGGTTCCAGGAAAGATATCTCAGATTACCAGACAGTAAAATGTAAAACAAAAATTCTCAAGATATCACTAAAACTCTCAGATTGGAAATACCTGAATCAAAGCTCCTGTGTCTTCACCTAATTTGTCATCATGTTTAAACTCCACAGTTACTGCTTTGTCAGCATCAATGGCAGCCATTTCTACATCTGTGGTATTGTTCATATATATAGCACCAAAGAAATCAGTGGCCCTAAATCCTGCAACAAAACACACAAAACAATCATGCGGTTGGTATTGTAATCAGCATTTATTTATTATCACATTCTTTTCAGCAAACTTTATTTAGGATTGTTAAAGAAAACATTATGCAGAAGAGTAGGAAAGAACTGCAATTGAGTCTCCAGCAGAGCGTCTCAGCAGTGATACATGAACAACCTTTACCTGTAACAAAGGAAGAATATCAGAAAATAACATTAACTGTGCGATACAAGTCAAGTGCACAGTCTGAGTAGAACAAAAATATTTTACAGCAAAATCCAATATAATCAGGAGAAGAAGAACTGGTTCAAGACGGAGGTCCTCTAAGGTTAGAAGTCTGAACTGCTATTGCATTCTATAAGTGATGTGCTGTGCGATGATGAGTAAAACTCGCAGGCAAAAGCCTTGTAAGAAGGGAGATATTTAAAGTGGTTCTAAAGCTAAGATTTTTTTTACAGTAATGCACTCCCTGCATGAAGGTAAAAAAAACGTATTAGGACTTGCTGTGTCCAGGGGCGTTTTTACCACAAGGCAAACAAGGCATTTCCCTAGGGTGGCATTTTTTAGGGGGGCAGCACTGCCCCCTGGAAGAAGGGACATGTGGCATGGGGATCAGCTGGGATCTGAGAGAGGTGCGGGCTGCCTGATGGTGTATGCAGAGCCTGATTGTCGTTCCCAGGTATATGCAGAGCTATAATAAATAGAAACCTTGCGCCAAAGACATAAACAATGAATCAAAATAAATGCTGCTGTTCAAAAAAATGACTGAACATCAAAATATACTCATAAAGTGACAGAGCGCAAATAATACAAATAATAAAAGATGTGAAATAATATATAAAGGTGAGTGTCTTTCTCCTTGTCACTGGCGGGGGTGGGGGATGTTAGTGGATGGCTTTCTTGGGTTGGGGATCACTGTCAGGCTCTCTCCGTGAGGGGGTGGGGGTGTTAGTGGAAGGCTTTTTTGGGTCTGGGGGGTCACTGTCAGGCTCTCTCTGCGCGGGTATCTGTTGTTGGTCGGTGTCAGGCTCTCTCCACCAGGGAGGGAGAGGGCATCCAACTTTTTGTGTTGCCTAAGGCAGCAATAAACCTAAATACACTACTGTCTGTGTCCCCCTCCCCCTCTTAAGACTTACCTCCCTTCTGGATCGATCCTGTGCTCGGCTGCAGTCTTCTCTCCAATCTTCCTCTTCACACAGGGACTGACAGGCAGCAGCAGGAGCCATTAGTTCCTGCTGCTGTCAGTGCGGAGGGAGCAGGGCTGAACTGCTCTCTGTGTGTCAATAGATGCACACAGCCCAGCTTGGGATCAAGCCCTCACGTCAAGCTGCTTGATGTGGCGGCAGACACAGAAGAGAAGCAGCACACTGCACTGGCAGGGGACCCTAGAAGAGGAGGTTTGGGGGTGCTCTGTGCAATACATTGCACAGAGCAGATAAGTATAACATGTTTTTTATTTTAGAAAAAAAAGCCTTTAGAACCACGTTAAGTCAAAAGCAAAAAAGAGGCTGGTAAAGGGGAAGGAATAAGATGAGAAGACACTGGAGCTGAACAGATCCCCGGAATTGGCAGTGATGGTAACGGTTTAAAAAAAAAATAGGCCAGTATGCTTCAAAATCTTGGACCACAAGCTATAAACTAAGCAGATAAATGGTATTACCCTAGATCCAAACTTCCTTTGTTGATGGCTAACATGGTATAGCACTCTGCTGCTCTAAGAAATTATTTTTGAAAGTCTAAGCTGCCTGAAAGTAATACATTTGTTCGCACTGCATAAAGTCCGAGAAATACACTGAACGCGGTTGAAATGCTTTGCTGGATCAAATGCAAAAAATAAAATAAAAATAAATTCACATTTTTGCTATTTTCAAAATGGGTGTATTTATTATTTAATTTGCAAAAGGGTTAATTTTCTTTTTAACAAACATTTTAGTAATCCACTGTATTATCTGCAAGTTCAAATACAAATGGTGGCAACTTGTAAACCAGCCAGCTTTTCTCTAATTGCATGCAGATATTAGGGACTTATGTTGACCCTTTTTACCAGTTTATTTTAAAGGATAAACAATTATAACACTTTTATTAGTTAAAACAGTCAAAACAAATACGAATATAACCCCTGGTTCACATATATGCGGACGTGCGGGCCGTGTTTTGTGCGGGCACTAGAGCCCATTCATTTGAATGGACTCCCGTGCCCCGGGACACGCAGGGAAAAAGTATCTGCACTTCTTCTGAAAACACAGGAACCTCGGTTCCCAGTATGGTTGCGTTTTCCATTGCTGGTGGCGTGCCATTAGAACTAATGGCACCTGCCCGCGGGTCCGCATTCCTCTGTGCGGGTGGTGCTGCTGCACAGATTTTCATGTGGATCCGCAGCAGCACCACCCGCACAGGTGTAAACCTAGGCTAACGAGAGGAAAAAAGACAGATGCTGGTTTTTGGTAATGGCAACATTTTTCAGGGACATTTTTCAGTCACAGCCAATCAGAACTGCACTGCCACTTTTTATATACACCTTTAGGCTAGGTTCACATCTGTGCGGATGGATCCTCATGAAAATCTGTGCAGCCACACCACCCGCACAGAGAAATGCGGACCCGCCGGCGAGTACCATTAATTCTAATGGCACGCCGCCCACACTGGAAAACGCAACAGTACTGGGAACCAAGATTCCCGTGCGGGCTGCATTTTCAGAAGTGCAGGGACTTCTTCCCTGCGTGTCACAGGGCACAGGAGTCCATTCAAATGAATGGGCTCTCGTGCCCGCGCAAAACGCAGCCCGCACGGCCGCATATATGTGAACCGGGGGTCAAGTGATTTTTAAAACATAGACCTTTTTGGAATGAAAACTAGGAAGATTAGCTTTATGGTAAAAACGGAAAAGTTATATCATAAGGACAGGGCTCACAGACTAATGCACTTTGTATTTCATTTAATGATGGCTGCTCTATAGCAAGTAAGCGGTCCCTTGTTTTTTCTTTTCCTAGTTTTTTTTTTTTTCTTGTTAGGATTAGCATTATCAATACCAAAATGATGAATTTTAAACTCTTTTAATCAATTCCAGGAAACCATCAAAATCAGTTTCAGAAAAAAATGACTGAAAAGTTTGATTTCACCTCTTGACTGATTATGTGTTCATTTGTAATTTTCAGAATACTGTACCTGTACTTGTACGGACTCTCATGATAGCATCAAATCCTATTCGTTTTTGAATATCTTCCTTGAGGTCACTGATAAACTGCTGGCCTTCTGTATGTACCTGAGCACAAGATAAGTACACATTGTAACCAGTAGGTGGAGGCAAAGCACAACTCATTTCCTACACTTCAATTCTACCATTGTACAACAGCTTACCCTAGGAAGCGTTGACCTTTCCCACCACCCAAATCAAAGATTTTGCTTCAACTTTACATAGTGTATATACAAGAACTGATTCATTATATTTGTTCATTAGGTAACTGTTTTCCATTCCACAGTGATGTATTTGCCTTTCATTCTTCAACTTATCAAACCTTTATTTTTACTTAATTAAAATATCAATCTATTTTTGTCATCACTATATATCTGGGGGCTGTTCACTTCATATGTATGTATGCATGGTCTCTTTAACATTCACTGGGAAATAAAGCTTCAAGTGCAGTTCTCATGAGATTTTCCCAGGAAAACAGCTGGTATAGCCAAGCAGTCTGTGCTTTTTTTCTGTACATATACTCCTACTTTGCCTTTCCTGTACTTGTCACAAACCCAGGGGAGTAGCTAAACTCCTCCGAGCCCCAATGCACAGTGCATGTGAGCAACACCTTATAAAGCATGAAAAGTTTATAACCTGTAAAACACTATATATAACACAGCACTTGCGCTCAGATATTAAACCACTCAGAAAATAAAATGTAATATACTAAAACAAAATAAAAGCAGCTTGCACATAAATAGGTGATGTTACAAAAAAAAGATTAGATTTTATTTTTGTAAAACACTATAGTCACGATTCAGATGTTGGAATAAAACAAGTCTATTTGAATGAGGATCACAGGTGGGCTCCAGGTGTCAACGGTAAAGAAGTTCTACTTCTTGCACATACTTTCTGCACATATCGCAGAGTTTGTTATTCAGCATACGCTCTGTCCAATTTTTTAGAAGTAGGGCTGTGAAAGTATACAACTTCTTAAGGAAAAACTTAAAGAAAATGTTTACATTTATATTTAATTCCCCAGGGGGACCAAGTGAATATACCACTTGGTCCTGTTTTGATCAGCGGCCCTGTTGTGGATATAAAGCGCCTCTTTATTTAGGTTAATGTTGGCTACAGCTTCACCCAGTTTGAAGCCCAATTTATGGGCGTTACGGTAGGAGGAGGAACAGCCAGCACTAAGCCCCTGCCCCCTCTTTAACTGAGTGTTCTTTTTATTATTATGAATGAAAAATCGATGCTGTCTGGGCTGGTGTTATAAAGCTGCTGGCTGCTGGTAAACATACAGGGCACTTGCAGCTACATCACACAGCCCAGATAGCAATGACTGTTTATACATAATAGTGAAAGATCATTCAGCGCTGCGGGGCTGTGTGTCTATATGTGGCTATTTGTAAACATGTCATCAGATGGTTTACACAGACCTGCAGCAGTGATGTAGAAACAGTGATATTTTACTGTTACAAATGAATAATCAGTTCTGTTGGCCCAGTGTTTCCGGTTCATTCGTAACAGTACAGCATTAGAGATGGGTGAGCCCAGCTGGGGTTCCATGGGACAAAGTATAAACAGAGCAAAATGGAGCCAAGGATGAAACTGAGCCGTAGATGGTATTAGTGCATGCTGGAAGAGAGCTGAGCAGATGTGCAGACTGCCATGGTTGGGCTCTGTGGAGTTGCATCAAGGGGATACTGTGGAGCTCCATAACACTGCTGCCATAAGGGGGGTGGCAGGAGTCCAGTCTATGACAGCCCGAAGTTCTGAATGATCTGTTGTGAAAGGCAGCACTGGTCTCCAGAATAGCCCCTGCTGTCAAAGACCAGTGCTGTCACTCCCAGATCTATCTCCTTTCTAGTAGCGTTGTCAAGACAGTGGAGGGAAAACTGCCAACCATGCTGCTTAACAATAGCAGGGACCACGGGCTACATGTACTTAGGCCTCTAGGGGGTTAAATAAAAGTGTACACATTTTCATGAGATTTCTTCTTTAAAGGAAAGCGTTAATTTACCTGAAAATTATTATACTTGTAGAGTGTCCCTCCTGTAAGCATTGTCACCAGGCCTACTGATGCCACATCAATGTAGTTGTTGGGGAACAGAAAAAGGTCTACACAGCACCCACTGGCCACACATTCCTTTGCTAGATTTTCATATGTATTACACTGGGGTAGAAAGAGGTTCTGAAAGAGAAATAAAATCTTTGATGTTTGGTCTTTTATGTATACATCATGCACAATCATACTGACATTCCCCCATGGAGGAACAGTTACTTCGCTTTTTTCTATTACAAGGGATAAAGCGTACCTAAATCTAAACAATGCATTGACCCACAAGTGATCCCAAAAATGCAATACATTTGTGCAAAAAAATCATACACTGTAAAGATAACTATGAAATAATTCCCTAACATTTTCTAATAATAAAAAATATACCTTGACCCCTGGTTCACATATATGCGGCCGTGCGGGCCATGTTTTGCATGGGCACGAGAGCCCATTCATTTCAATGGACTCCCGTGCCCCGTGACACGCAGGGAAGAAGTCCCTGCACTTCTTTGGAAACCGCAGCGTTTTCTAGTGCAGGCGGCGTGCCATTAGAACTAATGGCACCCTCCCACGGTTCTGCATTCCTCTGTGCGGGTGGTGTGTCTGCATGGATTTTTGTGCAGATCCGCAGCGCCCCCCCCCCCCGCACAGATGTGAACCTAGCCTTAGGGTGCATCTTGGGGACTTGATGTCATAAATTGTCCTGCCCTAATCCTGTCAACCTAACACAGAGGATTAACAGATTAAGGGGAGATGGCTTGAAAACATCAAGTGCCTTAGGCCCCTTTTACACAGGGCAGGTTTGATTTGCTCAACAGGTCCATGTCAACTCAGTTTATGCAGCGCAGGCACAAACACAGCACCCTCTGCTCTACAGGTGGTCGAGTGTAAACTGACCACCTCTGATCCGATCCGCCTAAGTGGAAGAGAACAGTTCCTTTTTCCATTTGTTTTTAGTAGACCAGATTAAATCACTGGAAGGCAGGTATAAATGGACACAAGTCTGTTAACATCTGCCAGTCCATAGAGATGAACGCACCGTCCAATCAAAAAACTGAAAAAAACTGACAGGTGGACCTGATCAGAAAGGTCGTGTGAAAGGAGCCTAAATTGCATCTGGTTTGCCTAAGCGACTTCTCACAATTAAGTGCTGCAGAGCCGATAATTTCATATTTGTCTGGAGAGCTGTAGCTGCAGACTGTTGTAGGCCAAAAGTGCTGAAGCTGGCAGTCACTACTGCATAAGCAGCAGAAATCTTCATAGTTTACAAACATACAACATTGTATATGGAAGTAAATCAAAACTTATGTTCTATGGCATATTTTCCTAATACTAGTAAAGGATCATATCTGCACTCATTTAAAGATTAAATATTACTCTTTGCACAATCTTACAAACTTTTACCTAAATATATAAGGGCCGTATATACACAAATATGGAGCAAGTTATAGGAGACACGATTTGATCACATTACGCAGTACTTTTTATTTGCAGAACATACTAGAAATTTCCTGAATTCTATTCTCACAGTATAATAACGTAAGCACTCAGAGCCTGGTACGTACCTTTTCCTTGTCTGTGTTAATCAGTCTTCTGTCATCTCTGTTCTTGAGTTTTCCTGGGGCTTCTGCAGTGGGAAGTGATGAATGGAAGATGAACAGCTTGCCTGCACATTCTGCTGCCTGTCATAACAAAGAAAGCATGGCTCTCGGTAAATTATTATGGACAAAACCAGAGATGTAAAGGGATAGAACTCCTACTGCTACTGTACTATAATGCACTAAAGGAATGTTTTGTAAAATTAACAAAAATGCAGCAATGGGATATTGTTTACTGGTACCCTGAGTGCTATGTTCACAAGAGACGACAAGAGGGGGTACTAGGCGTTAGTTGTAATACCTACCAGCTGCTGGACTTGAAGTACTGGGAGTACCAATGTCTCTCCTGTTCTCAAGTACATTAAAGAGTGACAGTCTCAAATGAAAAACTGCTGCTGTGAACTCTCTTCAGAAAAACTAGAATGATTATTCATACAAAAAAAAAATGAATAGAAATAATGATTGTATTAAACCTCAATTCAAAAACCTGTACACTTTCCCCTTCTCCTTCTCTTCCCAACCCCCCCCTTTTTTTTTTCTCTCTTTTTTCTTCTTCTCCCTCTCTCTCTCCCTCATTTCCCTCTTTCTTCTCTCAGATTTCTTACTGTTTCCTTACTGCTTTCCCTCCTTGATTTCTTTTTTTCAGCACTTAGCAGGTATGCCAGTTGTGATGTTCTTTGTCATTTCTTTTCTTTGATGTTATTCTCACTGATATTTTGCAAAAGGCTGAAAGGACCTTGGCGTCTCTACATACACCTCTGGATAATGGAGACTTGTATTGTACTGTTAACTGTATGGGAGATGTTTAATGCCGTATACTGAACAATTCTGGCGATTGTGCTTTTGGGATTGCCCATGTTATTGCCATTTGCTGTTATGTGCAGTTTGTCTGTTTGAAAGACAAGGGGCTAACCTTCGGTGTCAATGTTCATGTATACAACTGTTTGACTCAATAAAAACTTTATGAAACTAAAAACCTGTACACTTTGTGGCACTAGGGTTTTTGTCTTTAGGTAGACTACTACATTCGTATGTGATTGGGGCAAACTTACAGTGATTGTAAAGGAAAACATTTTTATTTTTAAAAGAACAAACTTTGCAAACAGCCCTGATCCTCTTCTTCTATGGTTTCCCACCAGCGCTCCTGGCTCCTCCTCCATTCCGAGTGCCCCACAGCAAGCTGCTTGCTATGGGGGCACTCTTGCAGGCTCGATCCCAAGCCAGGGTCTGTGTGGCCATTGACACACAAAGCCCGACACGGTCTTGCCCCCACTCCCTCTTCACAGACTGGCTTCAGCTGCTGACTCTCTGTCCAGTGAGGAGAGAGAGCCGCTGATTTTGGGAACAGCAATGGATCGAGATCGGGCTCAGGGAAGTATTGGGGGGGCAGGGGCAGGATTCTAATCACAGAAGGTTTTTTACCTTACTGCAGAGAATGCACTAAAAAAAAACTTTCTGCCTTTAATACCACTTTAACCACCCCAAACTGAGCAATAACGGATATTTATAGATCAAAAAAGCTGCAAAAGAAGCTCATAGTAAAGGGAAAGTGATAGAAGGTGAACATAAGTTACATAAATTATCTTTATTGTACCTAAAAGGAACAACCTGAACTTTCACATTTTACAGCTGATCTCTGGGAAAAAATGAATTTCTGTTCACATATACCATATATAATACCTTTTTATCCTGTGCCCTGTGATCCATGCTTATCTGCTGCGTTCCTCAGAACTTAATACAGATGCTTTTCCATCCTTATTTCCTCTGCAGTGGACCTGACACCTTATCCTTTTGTTTGTTCTGCATGGTGATCAGTTCCCTTGATGCCCCCATGTAGTCTCTGAATGATTTCTGCCAACTTAATAATATCATCGCAATCCTAACTGAGGTTGTCTATTAAAATTACAGCCTCCTCCTGCCTGTCAATGCCTAGCTCGGCCCATCTCAGCCTAGGTCTGCCCAGCTTTTAATGGGCTATGGGGATGGAGAAAAGAGAAACTCATGACACTGCCTACAGAACCCCCCAAATGACACAACGATAATTCCAAAGATTAATGTGACATGTAGTTCTAGGTTATTATTATTATTATACAGGATTTATACAGCGCCAACAGTTTGCTCAGCACATTACAATATAAAGGGAGACAATACAGCAACAATACATTTCAATACAAGAGGGTTAGGAGGGCCCTGCTCCTTGGAGCTTACAATCTAAGAGGGAGGGGCTGGTAGTACAAAAGGTAATAACTGTGGGGGATGAACTGATAGGAGAAATAGAAGATTCTGTTATTAGCTGAAGGCAGGATAGGCTTCCCTGAAGAGATAGGTTTTCAGAGATCGCCTAAAAGTAGGCAGAGTAGGCGATAGTCGGAAAGATTGGGGTAGAGAGTTCAAGAGTATGGGGGAGGCTCTGGAGAAGTCCTTGAGACACGCATGGGAGGAGGAGACAAGGGAGCTAGAAAGCAGGAGGTTATGGGAGGAGTGGAGAGGCCGGTTTGGGTGATATTTGGAAACAAGATTGATGATGTAATTTGGGACAGAGTTAAAAATGGCTTTATATGTTATTGTTAATGGTTTGAATTTTATTTGTTGGGCAATGGGAAGCCAGTGGAGAAATTGGCAGAGAGGGATGGCAGATATGGAACGGTTAGTAAGGTGGATGAGTCTGGCAGCCACATTCATGATAGACTGAAGAGGGGATAGCCTGCGATTAGGTAGGCCAATGAGTTACAATAGTCAAGGTGTGGTGCATACAGACACATTTGAAGTGAACAGAGTATCCTCCCGCTTTAACTTGAAAGAGCATTAAATCGGAGCCCAATTTAGAACAGTGGGTAGTTTAATAATTGTTTTTGTACCACAATCTGGAATTTTATGATTTAAAAAAACGCTAATGGCTGAAAAGAGAATGGGTAAAGGGAGGGTTGGAAAACCTGGTTACTGGTATCCCGTAGTTTAGTTTTAAAGTTCTCCTTTATGAGTATATACCCTCAGCTTAACATTCTAAACAAGAGCTATCTTTTCAAAGCTTATATGGGCTTCATAATGGAATACAAAGTTTGATAGGAAAGAATGTAAACAATTCTGCATTCTTAAATAATACAGGCATTCAGAGCATTGTGCCATCTGTAGCAGCTATAGATTGTTGTAAGATAACACTTTTGTAGTTGGATAAAACCTTACATGACACACAACTTGCTCATAAAATGAGTCTACATTTACATTTTTTGTGATTATAAGTGCAAATTATTTTACTGGAAGTTATGAATTCATATAAAAAAACCAGGAGCTACATTTAAATTTTTGTGATTATAAGTGAAAATTATTTTACTGGAAGGTATGAATTCATATGAAAAAAAACAGGAGCTTGTGTTAGGCTTGGTAATTAATAATGCGTAAAGTAGAACTCTAGGCAAAATGTTTTTTTCATTTTGGAGTAATTAGTTTATTTCTTGCCATCTGTGCCCCACTGGGGAGATTTACCTTCATTTATTGTTCCATATCAAAACAGGAAATGAGAGATAATCACTGAAAATTAAGGGAATTCCCTGGAGACCCCCAGGTCTCCAGAACTAGTGTCCCCCATTGGAAGATTTCCCCTCTGATACTGGTGTTTATTTTACCTTTCCTTTTTGATGATAATGGTAAACAGGACAAATAGAGAAGGTGAATCTCCCTAACGGGGTCACAGGCAGCTATAAAAACCTAATAGGTGTTCTAATTCATCTCCATTCTATCCAAAACTAAAAAAAAGTTTTGCCTTTAGGGAAACTTTAAATTACACACTTCTTTCCTGCACATATTACGATCAGTTATGACCCTTTAAGGCTTATACATATGAATACTAAAACTTTGCATCCAGGAGGTATTTCTGAAGATCTCCAAGAATTTATTAAGAAGAGATGATGGCCATGAACTCCTACTGTGGCCAAGTAATCTACAACAAGCATCTCCAAACTTTTCAAACAAAGGGCTAGTTTACTATCCTTCAGACTTTAGGAGGGGCAGGATTGTGGCTATTGGGGGTAGAAAATATTCCAGGCTCAGCATCAGAGAGAATAACCCTGGCCTTGGGGCTGATGGACAGTAGGAGGAGGAAAAGTTGGTATTAGTGAGAAGAATAGTGCCCCACCATTGGTATCAGGGGAAGAAATAGTTCCCTATCATTGATATTAGTGGGAGGAATATAGCCTTATCAGTGTCAGTGGCAGGAACTATGCCCCACTGTTGGTGTCAGATGGAGGAATAGTGCCCCAAGGGCCGGATAAAAGCTAGCAAAGGGCCACATCTGGCCCTCAGGCCGCATTTTAGAGACCACTGCTCTACAATATACACAATAAATTAGATTTTGTTGCACAACATTGTAAATGGAATGTCTGTAAAAGATGCAAATGTGAAACTATTGTAGGTATTTGCCAGTGCTTTGCTTGGTCTAACCTTTCAAGGTCGATTTCCATTCTGTCAGCTAACTCAGATAACTGTTCCTCTGGAAGATGGGAGCCATTAACAGGCTTTAGATGTTTTTGTCAAATACTTAACAGTATCAGACAGACTGATGAATGTGTAGAAATATCAGAATGTTTATAATGATAGGCTAGAAGGTTGCTACAAGTTAGTGCATGCTTTCATTATTGAATCCCATGGTGTAGAATCAAATTAGGTTCAGATGGGATGAGACCGTACATTACAAAGATAATTTGGTCAAATACACTTTTATGCCAAACTTAAAAACTGTAAAAATAATATGAAATTTACAAACCGAAATAATTCTGACAGTTATGTCAACACATCGGTATTAAGAAAAAAAGACAGCAATGCAAAGCAGGCATTTCATGGAATTCTTACAGTTCTAGTTTCAGAAAATATAAAGCAAAGATAATATCTTCCAAAACGATTTGCTTAAACAATAAAATACATATCACAGCTCAGAAAAGACAACAATATAACACTGACTTTCTAAAATCATCTAAGAATAAATCTGTAAAAGAATTTTACAAGGGAAAAACGTATAGGGTTAGGTTATGATCTTACAAATATGCCAAGCAAAACCTATAGGTGTATTTGAACATGGAAAATGCAGACTAACCTTTAATGCCTCCATGCCAGCCTGGATAACTGGAGCTAAGACCGTTTCGCTCTCATTTGTCTCTGCAAACATATCTGGGATCTGTCCAAGCAAGCTGTAAGACAAGACAAGATTGGTGATTCTAAAGACCAGGACTACAAAGAACATGTTATAAGTACACATTTCATTCTGAAAGTGCTAACTCCCTGGCTGTCATATTGAAAATTTGACTTATTTATTTCCGGTACTTATGTAGCACCATCAGTTTACGCAGTGCTGTACATATATATATTGTTCATTCACATCAAATCCTTTTTGAGTAACTGACTTAGATGAAGTATAAATCCTAGCAATTCTATTCTTTTCTTTCATTTACCACATGCTTGTTTAAAGCCTTTTATTTGGGTGTATTGAAGGCAGATTCAATATGGAATAGTATTTTCAGAATTAAAGTGGTTGTAAACCTTTAGACATATCCAAGAAAGTGACTGGCTTCAGGTGATACACAGAGAAGAAACACATCCTCCTACATAAGTTGTACCTGTTTATCTGCATATTCTCTTCTCTACATCTGTTCAAAGTGCAGAATTTATACAGCTTGTCTGAGTTTGTCAGAAAGCAAGGGGCATGGAGATGAAATTAAACTCTGCAGAGCTCAGTGAGAGCTCTGACAGCTGATTGGAGGGAAGAGAAACAAGCCCTTCACACACCACAGAGGAACAAAACTGAGGCTGTCAATCACAGGCTGTGTGCTGGAGTTCTCTCCCCGACACCATTTTACTTCTTTGTGTCAGGAACAGTCATAAGTGTCTCATGCAGATAGCACAGGAAGGAGGCAACAGACAGAAAATGACACTATTCATATTCATATTTCATGTCAGAGGTTTACAACGAGGTGAGCAAAGAGACCTTTTATATACAGTTGTGCTCAAAAGTTTACATACCCTGGCAGAAATTGTGAAATTTTGGCATTGATATTGAAAATATGACTGATCATGCCACAAAATGCTCTTTTATTGAAGGATAATGATCATATGAAGCCATTTATTATCAAATAGTTGTTTGGCTCCTTTTTAAATCATAATGATAACAGAAATCACCCAAATGGCCCGGATCAAAAGTTTCCTTCACCTGGAATGTTTGGCTTTGGTACAGACACACAAGGTGACACACACGGGTTAAAATGCCAATCAGAGGTTAATGTCCCACATCTGTGGCTTTTTAAATTGCAATTAGTGTCAGTGTATAAATACTCAATGAGTTTGTTAGCTCTTATGTGGAAGCACTGCCTAGGCTAGATATGGAGCCATGGGGATCAGAGAAGGACTGTCAAAAGTCCTGCGTAACAAGATGGAAAAGGACATAAAAAGATGTCCAAAGCCTTGAATATGCCAATCAGTATTGTTAAATCACCTATTAAGAAGTGGAAAGTTCGGGGATCTTTTGATACCAAGCCAAGGTCAGGTAGACCAAGAAAGATTGCAGCCACAACTGACAGAAGAATTGTCTGGGATTCAAAAAAAAACCCATAGGTAACCTCAAAAGAAATACAGGCTGCTCTGGAAAAAGATGGTGTGGTTGTTTTTAGGGAGTACAATACGGTGATACTTGAACAAAAATTAGCTGTTTGGTCGAGGTGCCAGAAAGAAGCTGTTAGGCTAACTGAATCCCGTTCTAAATTGTCCCTAGTATGTGTATGTATGAATGTGAGCTAGGGACCTTAGATTGTACACCCCTTCAGGGTTAGGGACTGATGTGAATATATATAATATATATATATATATATATATATATGTCAATTTCACTTTACCATTGGATTATTTATTTATTGTTTAAGATTTTTGCAATTATGGATAGAAATGCAGAACAAACAAGGCTCTGTGGCAAGAAAGAGTAGGATTGGAAACTGAATTCTCTAATAGATAAAGAAGCCAATGGGTGCTCCAACTTACTGTTAACTACCCCAAACTAAAAATATCAGTATTTGGTGGACTGACCCTTCAAATGCTTACTGGCTTTTGGATAATCAGGCAAAAAAAAGCAATAATGTGATGCTGCCCAGAGCAAGCAACTAAATATTACTATTGGCAAGCTGTAGTCATACTAACATACAGTATAATCATCTGTTGCTAATGGCTATTGAATATTGCAAAATTAGATTTTGCTAAGTGGAGCACTTCTGTGATTAACACTGGTTTGAATCTGAACCACAGCAATACCTGGAGTTTGCATGTTCTCCCTTTGTCTGTATGGGTTTCCTCCGGGTATTCCAGTTTCCTCTAACACTCCAAAGACATGCTGGTAGGTTCATTAGATCCTGTCTTCATTTGCATTAGTATGTGTATGTATGAATGTGATTTAGGGACCTTAGATTGTACGCTCCTTGAGGATAGGGTCTGATGGGAATGTACAATATATATATATTATAAGTTCATCATGGAAGAGGTCAATATATGCTGTGCTTCTTTATTTAGAAAATTGACCTTTTGCTTGTCTGATATCAGCCTTCCATGCTCTGTAAATTTAACGTAAATCTGTTTCCTTGACAAGAAAACACTGACAGGGCTTTGCTAAAAATGATTTTGGTTACATAAAATAAAACACATTCATACCAGCAAATGAATTAACTACGTAGTTTACAATAAATGAAAACATTACTTGTTAATGACTGATCTGGATTCATTGAAATTAACAAGGAATCCATCCAGTAGAGGCAGAAAGACCTCTGCCATGTCTGTCACCACCATCATTTGAGGCTGGGCCAGGTTAGCGTTAACATTGTAGAAATGCAGAACCTTATCATAAGTGACAAATCCCACACGAACAGCTGACGAATCTGCATTTTCCTCTCTGCAAGAAAAAAGAAAACAAGACCATTAAAACAGTCCAGAGAGAAACTTTCCAAAGTTTTATCTATATTATTAATATGTAAAAAAAAAAGGATTAAACATTTCCTTAAAGTGTTACTAAACCCACAGCAGTAAAATCAGTCTGTATATGCAGTAAAGCATGCTTGTTTATACTCTGTGTGGAATCTAAGGGGTTAATCCTCGGCATTGTGTAAAAAGGATGTTTGATTCTTTGTTCTCTGATCCTCCCCTTCTTCTGCTTTTCCCAATCCATCTGCTGATAGAACAGAGCTTGGGGTAAAACTGCACATGCTCAGTTTGGTATGTATTGCTAGAGGGTTTTTCTTTGGGGGGGAGGGTGCATGTGATCAACACAAGGCCAATCAGCACTGTCCAGACAGAGGGTCAGGGGTCCTGCAGCCTCGTGGGACAGTCAGAGGAGAATGAAAACTTCTCTCACAAGGTTAACCAGTGCTTGGTCGGACACAGATAGTCACAAGACTGCTCTAACTGCTGATGAGAAAAGCTATTTAGCAGTTTATATTTAATAATACAATTGTATTTCCATGTTCTGTGTAATGTGGGAGACCAGATATAGTGAATGCAGGGTCCTGGGTTTAGTAACACTTTAAGATCACAATGTTTTTCCTGAACATACCCACCATCACAGATCTCCCCAGCACAGATGCAACTGAATGATGAAGAATGGCATAGCCAGCACTCCGTCTTCCTGAATAATAAACTTTACTTAACAAGTAAAATGTGCATATAAAATGGCTAACGCATTTCAGCAATAAGCCTTAGTCACTGGCTATAGAAACAAAGGAGAGGGGCGCCAGACTAAGTGCAGCATTAGATGTACAGTTTATTAGCACAATGATAATAACAAAGTGACATCACGTCCACCCCGGCGCCATTTAGTTCCCTGTAGTGGCCGGCCGCTTCAGGATCCTCTCTCCAGCCACTACCCTGGCGCTTGGACACCTTCAGTTCCCGGGAGTCTGGACCACGTCTTTGGTGACATGCCTATCTCTTTTTTAATTCTTGTAAGTTGCCAATTGTCATTGTGCTAATAAACTGTACATCTAATGCTGCACTTAGGCTGGTGCCCCTCTCCTTTCTTTCTCTTGCATACAGAGTCCAGCTTTGTTCTGAGGGTGCTGCCACTGATGCTGCCGTTTGTTAATGTGCCATTGTGAACACTCATAGTTTCCCCCCACCCCATCTTGGACTTTATTGATGGACATTTTGGACTTTTTTGTAGCTCTATATACCCCTCCAGCACCAAATTTTTATATATTAGTCATTGGCTATGACTAAGGCTTATTGCCGAAATGCGTAAGAATTTTATATGCACATTTTACTTGTTCAATAAAGATTATTATTCGGGAAGATGAGTGCCGACTATACCATGTTAGAGCAATTATACAATGCTCCACAAAATTCAGACAATTATTTTATTCCTAAATGAAATGCCATTGCTTATTAGTTATATTTTCGGTCTTGTGATGGTCCCACTAAAACTTTAGACAGAAAACTTTTAGGCAATTGACTCCAAAACAGAAAATAGATGTTAAAGCCCGACTCTGGTTGAAGTAAAAGTCCTCCCTTGCATGGGCTATGCTTGCACTGCAAGAGTTATGTGCTCATCTATATCTAGGGGACAGTAAAAGCACTTTTACTTATCTGATGAACCATTTACTCGACAAACAGCACTCCCCTACATTCAAACAGTGGATTTTCTCGGCTTCCCCATGTCCAATGCATGTCCATGGTCCCTGCATCGGGGCATCAAACCCTGGGGCATAGAGGCAAAGAGGCTGCATGCACCTGTCTTCCAGCAAGAGGAAGCCTATGAGAGAGGAGGATCCTGGAAGTAAAACTGCTTTACCTGGTCCCCTAGACATAAATGAGCAGTTAACCCTTACAATGCAGGCACAGCCCCACTAAAAGGGAAGACTTTAAATGTTCTCAGTTCAGCTTTAAGAAAAATTAATTGCTTGAAAATGTTTGTAAATATTTCTGCTTGAGATAACAGATTGTTAAAAATAGAAAAAAAAACATCATGATAGCATTATAAAACATACTGTAGCTCAACTTATAAAAATCTGTCTTCTGTCTTTTTTGTGTCCTAATTAGAAACAGAAAACATACAACAGGACATCTTTTGTGTATTAATAAGGATGTGTGCAAACTGACCTTCTGACTTTCTACAGGCAGGAATATGTCATGATAGGCCAGCTTTCTACACCCATTCTGACGCTTTTGTTAAAAAAAAAAATAGAGTAGGGCCTCTAGAAGGGAGAGTTGTAGCACTGCAGTTTTGGTACTTTCATGAATGTATTACTAGTATTTCAGCTTCAATAATGGGTTGATGGGCTTTTGTTCGCTTCAAATGGGTTTTACATTACCTTGTATTGGAATGCAAACCCTGCTTGAAGCAGGCCAAATGCAAGTCAGAAGGAGGTTGCCTGCAACTCAAATGCATCTGCAAAATTCTGAATGATCTCAAAACTGACATTGTACCTCATTCCTGATGCGATTCTATGCAGTGTGATTGAGCCCATTCATTTTATATGGCCTCAAATCGCACCGAAAAAGTATTGGTAATTGGTATCGGTGAGTACTTGAATACAAGTATTGGTACAAAACAGGTATCGGTGCATCACTACTAAAGGCAAATAGGCTGTTTACTTTTTCACTTGCACTTTGCAAGGGTAATATCCCCACAGCTTAGTGAATAAGGTGAAGCTCTACTAACTTCCGTCATCCCATCACCATAAAAGTATCAGTAATTGGTATTAATGAATACTTGAGTATTAGTATAAAACAGGTATTGGTGCATCACTACTAAAAGCAAATAGGCTGTTTACTTTTTCACTTGCACTTTGCAAGGGAAATTTCCCCAGACCTTAGTGAACAAGGTGAGGCTCCACTAACTTCCATCATCCCGTCACCATAAAAGTATTGGTAATTTGTATCAGTGAGTACTTGAGTATTAGTAAAAAACAGGTATCGGTGCATCACTACTAAAAGCAAATAGGCTGTTTACTTTTTCATTTGCACTTTGCAAGGGAAATTTCCCCAGAGCTTAGTGAACAAGGTGAGGCTCTACTAACTTCCATCATCCCGTCACCTTAAAAGTATCGGTAATTGGTATCGGTGAGTACTTAAGTATTAGTATAATTATAATTATACAGTATTTATAAAGCGCCAATAGTTCGCTCAGCGCTGTACATTACAAAGGGGGACAGAACATGTGACAGAACAATAACAATACAATGTGATACATGAGGGGATTGAGGGCCCTGCTCCTTCGAGCTTACAATATAGGAGGGAGGGGATAGTGGTACAGGAGGAGAAAGCTGTGGGGGATGGAGTGGTAGGAAGAGTGGAGGAGGTCGGCAAGTTAGCAGGGGGTGGGGTAGGCTTTCAAAAAAGGGGGGTTTGTGAAAAGAGATTCACAGAAAAGCGGCTACATTATGAACAGACCGTGACACTCAGAAAATTTTCCAAAAATTATGCTTTATTACACAGATATAAATGACATATGGGCATTCGCCCTGGTTTACCATCACCTCAGTATGAGACAATAACACACAGACCTAAAACCATATAAAATGACATCAAGACCGGTCTAAATGTATGTGCAACAGAAAAAGTGACTGCAAGAGTCTAATATCTCTGTAGTACAAACACATAGGTAAACACTTCCCTGAAGAGGTGTATCCAAAAATTATACCATAGGTATACCATAATATTAAATAATGAATTTACACCAATATCATAATGGTGAATCCTTTCCATCTGGTGGTTAAAAATTAAATTCCATTTTTGACACTAGGAAAAGAAGTGGGCTTGTTAACTAAGAAAGAATATGACTATTTGACAACTGAAGAATTCAATCACCCTACGTTTTACATTATCCCTAAAATACATAAAAACCAAGAAAACCCTCCAGGTAGACCTATTGTTTCAGCCATTAATGGTCCCCTAGATAAAACAGGGAAGTATATAGATTTGTTTCTTAAGGATATGGTTCCGAATCTCCCCTCCTATGTGAGGGACACTAAGGATGTGTTGGCTAAGATTGAAAATATGACCATTAAGGATAACTCCATTCTAGTGGGAATAGATGTGGAATCACTTTACACCTCTATCCCACATGAATGTGGCGTGAGATCAGTTTCCTATTTTCTTGAAAAAACATATCCTACTTTGGGAGGACAGAATGAATTCATTAGTGAGTTATTGGAGTTTGCTTTAAAACATAACTTTTTTCAATTTAACAATACCTTCTATCAACAAACTAGAGGTACTAGTATGGGAGCACCATGGGCTCCGGCCTACGCATGTCTCCATTTGGGGTTTTGGGAGGAACAGGTTGTCTTTAAATCATCAAGATTTCTTGCTAATGTCCAGATCTGGTTAAGATATATAGATGATGTGTTCCTTGTGTGGCAAGGAACATCTGAGGAATTAAAATCATTTTTGGGAGAGTTAAATCAGAACTCCTTCAATATTGGACTTACATATATATGTGACGAAAGATGTATTTCTTTTCTGGATCTGGAGATTAGACTTGAAAATGGAAAACTCCTCACTAAGACATATAGGAAACCTACTGCTGCCAATACCCTATTAGAGGCAAGAAGCTACCATCCACGTTCACTGATCTCAGGGATTCCAGTGGGACAGTTTTTGAGATGTCGGAGAGAAACTGCTCAAACATCAATGATTTTAAAATGGAAGCTCAGGATCTCTATAGAAGATTTAGGGAAAGGGGGTATTCCCACTCCCAAATTAGAAATGCTCGGAGACGGGCATATCAAACTGATCGTGAGGATTTATTATCTACCAAAAAGAAAGTGAAGGCTAGATTGAGTGATCAGCCTGTGAGAATGATTACCCAATTTGGAGCTCAATGGCAAGATGTTAAATTAATATTGGAAAAACACTGGAAGATTCTTACTCAATGCCCCAGGTTGAGCAAGATTGTAG